AATCGAATCTTTCCAACTTTAAAATCTTGTTATGAGAAGAGCTATTGGAAAAGTGTATTCATCGAAATACTCAAAACAAAAAAAATTGAATGCAATAATTTGGAGTTGTATATTGTGTGTGCAGGTAGTATCGGGCTTGTATACCAAGTTAGAAAATGTAGCTCCCACGCTGCCCTATGGAGTGGAGGGAGGGGGGGGGGATTCAGCGAATTTAGGGGGCCTATTTACAAATTTAGAGGCCTTTTTGCAAATGAAAAGAGGTTTTTGTTTTTTTGAGGGGGGACACGGATCTAATACCCGCGGCTGTGAACATCTATTTAGCTGTGATACATTTAAAATTTAGTAGAAAGATACTTAAATATAATTTACATATATCAGAAATATAGTTATATATTTGTAGCAGAAAACTATTTAAATATATAAAATGTAATTAAATCAGAGTAATTATTCTTCAACAAATTTTATTCAACAATAAAATTCTTTTAAATTCAACAATAAACCACTTTCTAGAACCACTTTTTCTAAACCACTTTCTAGAAACGTTATTCAACAATATTCTTTGATACAATATTCAACAATATTCTTCTAAACCACTTTCTAGAAACGTTATTTGAAAGAGGACTTTTTAAGACAGGCATATGCGACAACTTTTATTATTTTATTTTTATGTTTTATTCTGATTAACTCCCAACAAGGCTGCATGCAGCCACTATTAAGTTGGGAGTTACTAGGAAAAAAAAGAATAGAGTTGTAGAGCAAGGAAACGGTTGACAGAAGACTGAAGGTTGTATGAGTCAGGAAACATCAAGGTGGGAGAGAGTTCCAAAGGGTTGTAGTGCGGTGAAAAAACTAGACGAATGAAAGTTTTAAGAACATGCATGGACAGATACAGTAAAAGAATGAGACTTTTCTAAATGAGAAGTTGAGCGAGATTGAGTTTTAGTTTATGAAACTAATGATAATAGCTCTTTTAAGCAGCCATGATAGCATTTGTAGAAAAGAGAAAGAGATGCAATTTTATGACGATAGGAAGGAGGATCAAGCTTAGCAGTTAGAGCGGTCCAACTACGTTTACAATGCATTCTTGGACTTTGTCAAGAAGAGAAAGAGCATCATTAGATGAACCAGCCTAAATAAGATAACAGTATTTCATACAGAAATCTAGCTACTTTCTTGTAGGAGGTCTCCTAGGCAAAAATTTTAGGAGTTAGCTGAATAATTTTCTTGACCAACCGCAAACTTTTTTTCATCTATGAGGCTGGGGTATATGTACACCTGTGTTACATTATTTTCTGCCTAGGATGATAAATGCTGGATTTTCTTGATTCTTCTCATAGATTTTTGCGTATGCCTCCTTGATGGCGGCTATGCAACTCTTCTTGTTATCTACTTATGAGGTTACAGTTTAAAACTCATTTTGATGGAATTTAGGGCGGCTGGTAGTAAGGTTTTCCAAACTCTGTGGTAGGTCTTGGAGAGACTTATTTCATCAACAGTCACAAAATATCAGAGTAATAACAGCGCCATGTTACGCATGAAAGATATCCCTGTTAATGCTTTTGGTGCGCATTATCAAGGCATTGTCATATGTTACAACTTTGGATTAATTAACAGGACTGGGAAAATTGCATAACTCATTGCTTAAAAGGCCGTGCTCTATCTATGAATGAGTCAAGTTCTCTTTAGACTTAAATCATGCCAAAAGTAACCCAAAATATTAAACATAAAAAATCACCCCCACCACCTAACTGCTTTAATATATCATTTACTAATATTTGTGGTTTGCAAAGCCACCTTTCATCAGTTGAATTTTACCTCTTGCAAAATTCACCAGACTTGCTTGCTTATAATAAGACTGATTTAAATTCTGCTATTCCTTCTTCTGTTCTCAGTGTTGATGGATAATATCCTTTGATTTGCAAAAACTCTAACCGTCACATGCTTGGTTTGGGGGTATACATACGCATCAATTCACCTATTTGTCGTAAAATTAGGTTCGATTCCTTTGACCATTCTTTGATGTGCTTCCGCTTAGCACCTCTTCACTCTATTACTTTCCTCTTTGTTCTTTATTGTTTTCCTTCTTCCTAAGACTGCACTTTTTTAGATGTAATTTCTGATCAAATTAACTATGTCCTCTTTCTTTACCTCTATGCCAATACTGTTTGTTATTGGTGACCTTAATGCTCATCATACTGAATGGCTTGGCTCTAACACCACTGATTTTGCTAACATTAAAGCCTATAACTTCTTTATATCTCAATCTCTTACTAAGATAGTTAACTTTGTAACTTGTTTTCCAAAAAACCCTAATTATTTACCTTCACTCCTTGATTTATGTCTGGTCTCTGATCCTAGCTTGTGTTCAGTTTCTCCTTTTTCTCCTTTAGGTCGTTCTAACCATGTAATGATCTCTTTAAATCTTTCACCTTGTACTTTCTTTTTAAACTCACCCTAACATCGCACTACTTACTATTGTAAGTATAGTATCTATAACACAAGTAATATATACTATAGTAAAAAGAATTCCAGTCAGCTTTAACGTAGTATACTACCCTAAAGCTAACTGGGATTCTTTTCGTAATTTTCTTGGTGACTGTACTTGGGCTGATGTATTTTTCCTATCTGTTAAAAAATGTGCCTCCTACATAACCTTCTAAATTCATGCAGGATTGGAAGCTTTAATTTCTTCTCGTCGGTTCCAAGTCAAACCTCATTCTACTCCATGATTTTCGACCTCTTGTGCGGCTGCGATATCTAATCGAATTCATTTTTTTCATCTTTTTCAAAAGAACAATTCTTTTGAGAACAAACGGCTGTTTATTATTGCAAGAAATTAGTGTAAAAAGATGCTGAACTCCATTATTCTCAGTTCATTAAACCTCTTATTTTATCTCGGAGGTTAGGCTCTAGAGTAGCTCTAGAACCTTTAACAGCATCGTTAGCAAAGGTAGGTCTAAATTCCATATCTCATTAATGGAACTGATCTTATTACTTGTCCCGAATATAAGACAGAAATATTTGCAAAAAACTTTTCTTCTAATTCGGCTCTCGAATCTTATCTCTAAAGTCCGTTGCTAAAGTCATATCTCGTTTAAATTCTTCTACAGCTAGTTGTCCAGACAACATTCCTGTCATAGCCTTACAAATTTTTTTTTCCGAACTCTCTTCAATTCTCTCTAAAGTATTTAATAAGTGCTTGACTGAGTTTTGTTTTTCTGCTTGCTGGAAAATGGCATCTGTTGTTCCAGTTTTCAAAAACTCTGGTAAACATTATGACCCGTCCAAATATTGTACGATCAGTCTTTTTTTTGTTATTAGCAAAGTCTTTGAGTCTTTTGATAAAAAAATTTCTTACATCCCATCTTGAATCAAATAGCTTATTGTCAGAGAATCAATACCGTTTTCGATCCTGTCACTCTACGGTTGATTTGCTAACTGCTATGACTGAAAAATTTTATTGTGTATTAAATGGAGACGGAGAGGCTAAGGCTATTGCTTTTGACATATCTAAGGTTTTTTAACAAAATTTGGCATGCTGGTCTTTCCCATAAGCTTGTTTCATATTGTGTAACTGGGAAAGTTTTTGTGGTTATCAAATCGTTTCTTTCTAACCGCTATATCAAAGTCATTCTCGAAGGACATCACTCTTCTTTATTTCCAGTAACTTCTGGGGTACCTCAAGGTTCTATCTTTGGTCTTGTTTTGTTTCTTATCTACATTAATAATCTTCCCGACAACCTTACATCTAAAGTAGCTCTTTTTGCTGGTAACTCAACTTTATATTTCTGTCTACAAAAAGAATAGGCAGCTAATATTTTTTATACACATCATTTAATTTTAGCAATGTTACATTCGCATTTTCTAACAGTTGTTTTATCAAAAATTCAATATGATTTAATATGCTGATACAAGTTATACTTTGGTGAGAAATAAACCAAAAGCTCATTTTCGACAAATCGAGATTTCTAAGGTCGACGATTTTTAAAGTCCGATTTTTGATTGAACTTTAATTTTTGGTTATGAGATTTAGATTTAAGAAATTTTTTGTCGATAACAAGTAAAAAATAATAAAGGGGGAAGGAGGGGGGGGGGGTTAATAAGCTAAGGGTATGAACAAACGTTCACCCCCTCCTCCTTCTATGAGTACCTAATATGTGGAAATCACTTTGTTTTCATAAAACTGAAATTATTAAAAAAGCATGCTACGTTAATAATGCCGTCTTAAAGTTTAAAAAAATACTAAAGTTGCTGTTTACAATCCTGATCTTTTTTAATGTTAATTCAAAAATACTATTTTAAAATTAGTTGATAAAATTATGAAAATAAAATCATTCTTATATAAAAAAAAGTTTAAAAAGTTTCAAATCATTCAAAATTTTAATGATTTAATATAACTTTTTAAAATAAAAATTATAATTTTTATAATTTTATGAATTTTTTTTTTAAACAAGAAATCAGATTTAGGATTTCATTTTTTAAGACTTTAGTTATAGTATTACTAAAGTCTTAAAAAATGAAATCCTAAATCTGATTTTTTTTTTTTAAATTCATCTTTAAATTTTCTTCCGAAAATAAAATTCTTTAAAAAGACTTGATCACTGCTTGTGATCTGTTGTTTTAAATGTACAGTGTGCTTCTAATCTGAACATGAGTATGCATTATGCATATCCATAACCAATTGCATTTTCTTTACAAATGCAACTACTTTCAAAATAAAGCCATGATTTTACTCAATATCTGTTTTAGTTTTTATCTTTTAAATGCAGATGAATTTCGCTTGAATTTTTTTTTCAACGCATGGATAAGATATCTATAAATTTTTGAAAAAAATAGTAATGTAAAAATACAAATAAAAAATTTAATAACAGTCAATTTAATATAATATACAAATATTGTCAATTTTTGTTTTAAAATTTTCAAAACATCAAAGATTAAGTATTGAAAATTTTAAAACAAAAATTGATTGTTTAAAATCATAGTGACCGTTTTAAATGTTACTTTCTGCATTGTTATTTTTTAAGTTAAGGAATATTCATCACAAATGACCGTAAGTTCACATATGGAAGATGCATCTCCTATCAAAAGAGTAGAGGTATAAGTTGTTTATTACAAAGTGAGAATATTTTTTGTTTATAAAGCTTTTTTAATTTTTACACTCTAAAGCGCGCGCACACACACACACACACAACACACACACACACATACACATACACATACACATACACATACACATACACATACACATACACACACACACACACACACACACACACACACACACACAAGTATTTATCTACTATAGCATATATAGATCAGCAAATGCTTACTAGTTTTACTTATCTTTATAGAATACAGCTTTTTCATAAAAATAAGAAAAAAATGAAGAGTAATGAAAAGTTCTTGCCCAGGGGCAAATTTTTGAAAAACTTCAAAAATTTGCCCCTCAATTTAAGCTGATTTTTATCATTCAACTGATAGGAAGAGTGTGGCCATTTGCTTCAGTATATGAATTAGAGAAAAAGCGCAAAAAGTTTGTGAATTTTCCCATAAATAGACCCACTGTAGAAAAAGCTCTTTCTGATTCAATTGATGTCGGCTTGATGATCATTAATGTTGAGTCTACTCTTTCTAAACTTTTGCTACGCTTTTCAGTTGCCTCAAAAAGTTTAATTTTTTTGTGAGGTTTTTAAATTGCTAATGTTTTCTAGAGCTGCTTTTTTTACTTGTTTAACATTGCAAATAGTCACATCCAATTTTTGTTTAAGTGTCAAAATTCTTTCGCCTAATAAATTTGGAGCAACACGTTGAAGTATTTCAATGTCAGAAACCTTTCATTATCATGACTCACTTCAACTATTTCATGTTAAAATGGTTTAAGTGAGTTGCTTTCACACTTCAACTATTTCATTTTCATTTTATGTACAACCTGGTATAAATTTTTTTTGCTGTTGCTTTTAATGCATGTTTGGATGGTAAGAGTAGTTTGGAGTTGATATTTGATTCCTGATTATAAATAATTGGTTTGTTTAAATATTTTAGTAGTCCAATTAAATTAGCATTTCTGCGTTCTTCAATTCTCTGCAGAACAGAAAGAAGCAGTTTATTAGCTATAAAAATTTTTTCTCCGCCAAATCCTCTAAGATGAATATCATTACACCTTCTGTGTCAAGTAGAGTATTTATAAACAAGTGGTTCCGAGTTCGATCCCCACCACGTCCCTGGTAGTACCGCGCTCAACTCGTTTCTCCGCGCAGCGGCCTTGTTCATCAAGGTTCGTGTTTCAGAGTTATAGAGTTGAGAGAGGGTTATAGCCACAAATAAGTAGCCTCCTCGTCTGTAGTGGCCTTCTCGGCCTTGAGGAGGTGAATTAAAATTAAAAAAAAAAAAAAAAAAGAGTAGCATTACTTCTACCAAGTCTTTCTATTCCAGCTTTTATTGGTTGCAAAAAATTTGTTATGTTGTTCATAATCGCATATTCATCATCAGAGATATTTAGATTTTCTTTTAAATCAATAATTGCTTTTAGTATACATGTTTTTACTTTAAGGAATCTTTCTAGCATTGCAACAAGACTATTCCACCTCATTTTGACATCTAATCAGCTTATGTTCTTTATGAAACATAGATTTTATCTACATTTGTAGATAAAATCTATGTTTCAACTTCAAATTTTAATCTTGAAACTGCGTTGTCAAATTTTAATCTTGAAACTGCGATTCAAATTCAATATATTTTGCTGAAGAGTCTGACTTTTTGTAAAGAACATCACATACTGCCAAATGAAGTCCGTGGGCATAACACAGCTGATGTTCAATACCACCTAGCCGTCCAAATTTTTTCATTACAAGTTCTTTGTCAGTGACACTAGCTATGATAAAGTAAATTAAAAAATGTTTCTTACATATGTATGTTATCTTACGTATGACTTTAAATGTCTTTGTTTGCCATTTTTTAAATACAAAAATTATTAAACATATCAATAATTCAATATAGAAAAAGTTTAAAAATCAAAATTACTGTTTTCATCGCAAGAAATCTTTTTTATTTTTTACTTATATTTTATAATAAAATAGTTTCAATAACATTTTTTGTTGTGCTAGGTTTTAATATAAGGTACAAAACACAACTAAATGCAATAGTATTTTTTTTTTGAATTAGTTCAAACAGTTATCCTATGTAAAATTTAAAAAAAGTTATAATTTGTATATAAGAGTGATATCCTGGGAAATCCCGCTGCCACTTTTATCTCCGGGATCTCGGGAAAACGAGATCCCGGGATCCCGTTTGAGAAACCCTAATGGGGATTATGCAATTTTAAAATATTTATTAGATTTTCAAAAAAGTTTAAGGTTATTCCAAAGTACATTTTTATGTTACAACTATTGATACAAAACTTAACTTTCTTTCTTGCTCTTTATATATAACATTTTACAATACCTATATTATTATATCCGAAATGACCAAATGAGTCACTAAAGTTCATATTTGAAGTAAGGTCTCCTGAAATTATTAGAAAACTTGAGGTACCACAAAAGCCATAAAAATAACAAAAATTAAAATGAAAATTTACAAAAATTATTGACAATCTTACATATTAACACAATCAATTTAAGAAACACAATTTTAAGTATTATTTTATTAGAGCATGTTTTTGAATGTTATTTTTATTTCGCAAAATAATACTTTTTTTTTCAGATTGAGTTCTTTAATTACTTTATCAATAAAAAAGATTTTTTTTTTTTGATAATTTTCAATTAATTATGTTTTTATTCTTTGATAAGTTAAGTATTTATAAAATAGATTGATTCACTGTTTTAATTTCATTTTATTTTCCCTACAAAACCTATTGTAGATGATTCAGAATAATTTTATGGTTACATAAATTGTATTATAATTTTATGCTTACATTTAATATTTATTAAATACTGGCATACATTTATATAATTTTAAACTCTAATTTATTAAATCTTTATTTATTTAAAGTATTTCAAACACTAGGAAACATATAACTGAAGACTTAAAAAGTTGTAAGTTGTATAAAAAAGGAAAACATGAAGATGGGCAAGAGTTATAAGGTGTTTTTGATGTTCAAGGTAAAAAACTGGATTAATAAAAGTTTTTTTAGCGGGACAGATTCAGTAAAAGGATGCAATTTGTTGAAAAAAAATCAAGCAAGAATGAGTTTTGGTTTATCTTAATAGAGATGATAGCTTGTTTGAGCATTGACCATAATTGTATTTGGAAAAAAATGAAAGAAATGCAACCTTACAACAATGGAAGTGTGGCTCAAGCTTGGCAGATAAAGCAGGTTTAGTTACATTTACAATGTGCCTTTAGACTTTGTCTGAGAGTAAGAGAGTTGTTATTTTTCAATATAGGAATGCCAACAATATTGCAATATTTTTTTACATTAATAAATTTTCAGAGTTTTTGTCAACAAAAATTGTAGATTTTAAGTCCAGAATTTAAATCCATAAACCACTGCAAGCCTTAGGCTGTTACAGAAGAGAGATCAGGTTTAAAATCGCCTGCTTGTTCTAAGCAATAAAAAGTGAAGATTTTTAGTCAAGAAAAGAGTATAAAGTTGTGTTGTCAGCAAATAGAGCCATTTTAGATTTTATGAAAATCGTTATTGTAGATAAGAAACAATACAGGAGCAAAAATAGAATCTTGTGGTACCCATAAAATTACTTGAAATAAAGAAGAGGGTAAGCCTTTAAGAATAACTTTGCTACTGCAGTAAGAAAGAAATAATTTATTAACCTTAAACCTTTATATAAAGAAACTAATAACAGAGTGAAGACTAATCATATGATAGTTAGAGAGGTCAAAGTGTTTTCTAGAGTTTTGAAAATTTGAACCACATATTTAGCACTTTTTAAAAAATAAGAAAAAATTGAAGAGAGGTCTAGAGAACACTTTTTTAAGACTATGATAGAAATCTATTTTGGAGCACAAACTGTAGAAGCGTTTAATTGAGAATTAACTTAAGCATTGAAAGCAATGGGTTAATCTGTTTAACTGTCAGGAAGAATATGGCCATTATATTCAAGAGTCAAATTAGAGTAAGATTTCTTTGCGAATAACTCTGGTTTTTTCTGGGGAGAAGTAAAAAGATCAGACCCACAAATAAGAGATTAAATGTTAGACTTAGTTTAGTTAAGATATATTTTATTTATTTATATATATATAAGGTATATTTTATTTATTTATATATATATAAGGTATAATTTATTTATTTTATATATATATAAGGTATATTTTATTTATTTATGTATTTTTATATATCAATCGAAAAAAAAATACATAAACAAATAAAAAAATAATAATATAAATAATTTTAATTAAAGATTGTAAAAAAATAAAAAGGTTATTTTTAAATTCTCCTAATACAGTGTTAACTGTAATAACTTTTTCAAACTAATGTGATGAACTATAAAACTTTGATCTTTTTTAAAGTTTTGATAATATTAGGCGGATTTTTTTAAATAAAAAAAAACTTAAATCTAATTATCATTTAATAAAAAACTAACTTTTTTAAATTATCAAAAAGTATTTAAAAAAAAAAGTTTTTTGAAATGCATTCGTAGTCATTGTTATTTAAAAAATTTAGAATACAAGTTGTTTAAAAAAAATTTAATCATCAAAAAAATACTTTTGAAATAAATAAAAGTTTTTTATAATATTCTGATTTATTTAATGGTTTTTTAAAACTTTCTTTAAAAGCGTTTAGCTTTGTGTAAACAAATTTTATTAGAAAGTTTACATAGTGTAACAAAAAAACAAAAACTGTTTTATGTTTTCGACTATTAAATTTATGGATTCATTAAAAAATTTATTTAAAAAATATTTTTTGTTGTTGCTTATAAAATGAATTGTAAAATTGTTTTAAAAACATTTATATATATTGTAAAAAAATACATTTTTTAACAAAATAAAATCTTCGATAATTAAATAAATGTCTTTTATAGTACTTAATCTTTAAAAGCAATTTCTCGCTTTATTAGCTTATACTTTATTTAGCGCATTGTTTAAACGTTTTCAAAATTTTAAAAAGCTGTGGTTAAGTTGTCGCAAAAAATTAATAATAAGTGGTCAGGAATAGAGTGCGATCGTACGCCTTTCCTGTCCATGTCTAATATATATATATATATATATATATATATATATATATATATATATATATATATATATATATATATATATATATATATATATATATATATACATTTTTAATGTTAATTCACCTCCCCAAGGCTGAGTAAGCCACTGCAGTTGAGAAGGTTACTTTAATTGTGGTTATCTTAACTCTATAACTCCAAAACACAAACATTAAAGAACAAGTCTGCTGCACAGAGAATCAATTTGAGAGCGGTACTATTAGGGAGGTGGTGGAGATTAAACTTGGAACTTCTCCTTTAAGTAGCAAGGGCTACTTAAAGGAGAACCACTACACTGCACATGATATCACCCCTACGGCATACATCTGGCATATCATTTTTTAAACCTACTAACATTTTGAAACTGTTTTACTTGCAAAAAAACTTATAGGAAAAGTTTATCTTTGAACTTTTTTTTATTTTATTTTAATTTTTTTTCTATTCATTTCCTCAAAGCCAAGAAGGCCACAGACAATGAGGGTACTTAATAGTGGTTATATCCCTCTCCCAACTCTACAACTCCGAAACATGAACCTTGGCAAACAAGGCCGCTGCGCGGAGAAACAAGTTAAGCACGGTACTACTAGGGATGTGATGGGGACTACTTTTTTAAATTTTTATTTATGTATTTACAAAAACATATATATCATATATATGTATTTTTTAATTTATTTATTTAAAGACAAAAAGTATAAGTACAAAGTTCAAGGTTCAAATTAATCAATTAATAGTTCTGTTTAATGCATCCACAGCTTCATTGTTACTTGTGCAGGTGATAAGCTGATTTTAAGGTCTGCAGTTAACCAATAAAGTATCAGCTCATTGAACATATTTTTAACTCTTGAATACTTGTCATAGCCAAAAAAAATTTTAGCACATTTTTTTCTAACAAGATTGTAGATTTAACAAAATATTTAAACTCAAGTTAAGCCACAGAATATTTAAACTCAAATTAAGCCTCATCAAATAAACAGAAGCAGTATGTCTTAAATAACTGTGTTTTTACATTAACTGGGCATCTCTTAAATTGTCGGTTAAAAATATTTGTATGTGTTTATAAAAATTTATATCAGCATTTATCAGTTAAATTATTTTCAGTTATATGACCTAGATAATTAATTTTGTCCACTAAAACTAATTCACAACCAAGATAAATGGAGGAAATTTTTATTAAACAATTTTTACATGTCTAATTTGGGTTAAATGTCATGTGTAGTGTTTTCTTAGTATTAAATTTTTTTACTTTTTTTATTTATGTTAATCAACCCTCGGAATTAGGGTCGGCATTCAGCAATGCTGACCTAACTGCCGGCCTGAAAGTGCTTGAGGTCGACAAAAAATTGCCAATCTGGTTTCTATGTTTTATGGTCAGACCTTTGTATCAAATAATTTTTGAACCTGATGCCAACCTCAAAAAGATTGAGGTCGGCAAATTATTGCTAACCTCATTTTTCCTAATTCCGAGGGTTGGTTAATTCACCTCCCCAAAGCCGAGAAGGCAACTACAGATGAGAAGGCTACTTAGTTGAAATTCCGAAACACAAAACTTGACAAATAAGGCTGCTGCGCAGAGAAACAAGTTGATTGCGGTACTACCAGGGATGTGGTGGGGATTGAACTCAGACGCTCTTGCTTAAGCAAGTGCTCTACCACTACACCAGTAATACATATGCTAAAAGATTCAAAAAATGCCATCTAGGTTACATTGAGTATACAAATTCTTATTACTCAAAATCAGTTTTCATATATAAAATTTAGAACAAGAAGAAAGAACGTTGCTGTATAATATTGCTTATATTAAAGCTGAGTTTGCTTTTTGTCATCTGACACTCATAGTTTAATTTTTGTACTAAAATGCAAGAAGAAAGAAAACATTCTTGTCATGCAAGTAGAAAGACAACATTCTTGTCATGAAAGTAGAAAGACAACATTCTTGTCATGCAATTAAAAAGACAACATTCTTGTCATCAATTAAAAAGACAACATTCTTGTCATGCAAGTAGACAACATTCTTAGCTAAATCTTGATTAAGAAATTTAGAAAGCTTCTAATAATTAATGCTATTGAAAGCTTTGTTAAAATTTTTGTTAAAATCTATAAAACATGTGAATGGCTTCCTCTAGAAATATAACAATCAACTGTCTTTAAAATATGCACAAGATGTTGTGGAGTGATTTTGCTTGAAACCAAACTGAAAATCATCAGCATTATTATGAGATTCAACTCATGTTAAATGATAATGTTAATAAAATACCTACAAATATATTAGAACAAGAAGGAGAATTTGCAATTGCTCTATAATTATCTACATCTGTTAAATCACCAATTTTAGATTTTAGTAAAGGTATTATTGTAGCTTCACAAAATGTTGATTGCAAATGTTCACATTGCAAACACAAATTTAAAAAATACTTAGAGAGACAATCTATGTCCTCCATATTAAAAAGATTCCATAAACAGACCATCTGGGCCAGCAGCCTTTCTTTTTTATTTTTTGCGTTAGCAAAGCATTAGTAACATCTAAAATGGTAACTCCATTATGTGTGTCTAGCAATCAAGACTTTTAACATCTAAAATGGTAACTCCATTATGTGTGTCTAGCACTTTTTGTTCAAAATATGATCTCTGCTGATCATCATTAAATGAATGTTTAAAATGCATCTACCACATAGTGGCAACCTTGTCACCAGTAACTCCGCAATACTAGAAACATAATTGTTTGCTTTTTTTATCACTTATTTTATAGACACTGTCCTAGAATTTTTTAGGATCACCATTATTGATATTATCTGCACATTTATTAGCCTTAATTTAATCTGTATGGTTTTTATAGTATATACATTTGATTGATTAAAAAAAAACAAAAAACTAAGTGCATTTTTTTTGATGAACTTTTAATTTTTTTTTAGAATTTTAGTTTGTAAATGTAGGCATGTTAATATTAAAAAAGCTCAAAGCATTTCAAAGAAAAACTTTAAAAAAGAATAAGTTTTTTCATATTTTTTTTACAAATAAAAGCATTTTAAAATCTTAGTAGATTTTATTAAAGTTTTATGTTAAATAATTTGTAGCAATTTTAACAACTTTCATACTTTATAGGACAAGTGGAAGTTGGTTCCAGCTTTTTTGAAGGTTTTTTTTTTTAATTATAATTTTATTAATCTGCTTTTTTAGTTATTTTAATTTGTACATCTTGTTTATTATTTTTTTGTTATATTATAATATTATAGGTGAAAGGACTTGTAAAACAACACATAGATTCTTTTAACTATTTTATTAATACAGAGGTTAGTATTGTTAAAGTTATACATGCAACAATAAAAATAATAACTGTAATAACAATATTATGAATGCAAATATGTTTTTAAGATTTTATACATTTAATATTTTGCACTAAATGTTAATGGAAATTTTAAGATAAAAGACATAGTAAAAGCTAACGAAAGAGTTCAAACAGATGCTGATCCTGTTTGGTACCTTAAGTAAGTAGTAATAATAACAACACTAATGCCTTAATTTTTTGATTTTTTAATGCTATTTTTAAATGTTGTAACTGCTTCATTTACATCTGAGGGGGTCTTATCTTTATTTACGCCTGAGGGGATCTTATCTTTATTTACACCTGAGGTGGTCTTATCTTTATTTACACCTGAGAGGGTCAAGATCTTCTTAAGTTTTGTTTTTTGTGTTGTTTTTTGCGTTTTTTTTTTTAAATGTAGTTTGAAGTTGAATTGAATGTTTTATTTCCAACCACTAACAAAATTCATAATTTTTTTTTAGATATTTAGATGTTCATGTTGGTGCTCCAGATGTAGAAGAATCTTTTAATGTTTCTCGTCCTGTAGCACCACATGAGGTAAAACATTAGTATATATATATTTTTAGTATATAATAATATTTATTACTTAATATGCATATTTTATTATAACTTGTTATTCCTTCTTAAGTTGCTAAATATAAGCTCGTATTTATTTAAAATTGCTGTCAAAAAACATTCGGTTAAGTAATTATTAATCAATATTTGTAATGTCATATTAAAGATACCTCATATCTTATCATGACTCCCCCTCCCCCCCCCCCCACACACACACATATGTGTGAGGGGAGACCAACTCAAGGAGAGTGTTAAGATAAAAACAAAATTCAACAGTAACTATAGAAAAAAAAAAAAAGAACACAATTTCTTTGTTTATGACACCATTGCATACTTAAGTATATAAATAACAAGCGCTAAAAAACATTATTTAAGCCATTGCTTTAATATTTAATATTTCTTTCAATAAAGGCATCAATTTAACTAGAAAAACTTGAAAACTAGTGAAATTAATTACCATTAATTTCACTAGTTTTCAAACTACTACAGCTTTCTATTATATTATGTATAAAATAATTTTTTTCATTGATTCAGATCTAAAACATTAAACAAAACAAAAAAACTTTATATCCATTTTATTACATTTCATTAATAAACATGTTATGTATTCAAAAATCTATCCCCAAAACACAGATTTTTCTTATATTTATTATACTGTTTTATAATTGATATAATTTGAATATAATATAATTTAATATAATTTAGTAATAAAATAAATAAAATGATTTTAAGATACAAAAATTGTACTTTAAACTGGAGTGACAAAAAATTAAAATTGTTATACAAAGAATGGTGTAAACAAGTTATCTATGAGATTTTGAAAGCCATAAAACAATATGAAATAAACCTCAATTATATTAAACAATATCAATTATAAAACAGTATAATAAGTTTAAGATATTGCTTGATTCTAAGGGTTTTAGTTTGAACTTCAAAAAACATGAGATTTTTCTTTAGATTCTATTAATATACATAGGTACAAGCTGGAATATTTTGAAAATAAAATCTAAAGCATTCCTTCTCAGTCCAAAATTGATATTTTCCGAAACTCAGAAAATAGTGTTTATAAACTATTTTTAATTACACCTTTATTATTTTAGCTATAAATATCATAAAAACCCACATGACCATCCATTGTCTTTGTCTTCAAAATGTAATTAATTTAATATATAATAATACCTTTAATGGTTTGATAACTTTATGGCTAACGTGGTACTAGAATAATTTTTTTGGGTCTGTTCTATACATTACAGAAGCAAAATAAAGTGCATAGAAAACAATTTTATTAAGTTAAACAATAAGATCATATTATATAAATTATATTAAAACGCATGCATGTTTTAACTAATTTATATATATATATATATATTATATAAATTAGTTAAAACATGTATGCGTTTAATTAGTTTAAATTCTCCTAAAGCTGTAAGTGAAAGCCACTTTTTTAAGCTTCAATCCGTGGTGTTAGTTAGTCTCTGCGACAACATATGGCTTTAATGTTTTGTGTTAAATTTTTATGTACAGCCCCGCATGTATGCTCTGAGAAAAGTCCAAGACGTTTATATATATATATATATATATATATATATATATATATATATATATATATATATATATATATATATATATATATATATATATATATATATATATAATTGTTACATGTACTAAACTTTTGCAGGGTTTTGATGCAGAGATATAACTGAATTGGTGTTACCAGCATTTCATCCAACAGTTTGAGAATGTTACCACAGCTGGGTCCATCAAATCCGCCACTATTATACCATTGTACCCATAAAAAAGGATTTCAGGCCCTCATTTTTGGCACAGCGGCCTTGTTTGTCAAGGCTCATGTTTATGAGCTATAGAGTTGAGAGAGGATTATAATTAAATAGCCTTCTTGTCTGTAGTGGCCTTCTCGGCCTTCAGGAGGTGAATTAAAGTAAATATATAATAATATCCTGCATCTTGGTACTGATAGTAATCTGAACTTAAGGAGGTAAAAGTGTTCAAGTCACCTGATGAGCTAATACAACGTTTCCCACCATGACTCTATAATAAATTGTTTTGTTATTCTGAGAAAAATTAATAAAATTATGCAAAATCTCTTACTAGTAGATCTTTAATGTATACAACATATTTCAACATTGAGTTTTCAAGTTCATTTTTCTTTACATTTAAAAAAGCATTTTTTTGTAACTGTAAAACTTTTCTAGAGCATGAGAACGCTTTATAGCCGTAACAATTTTTTTCAACACCTAGTTATAAAATCCCATACTGTAAACAATGTGAGAATAATAACTATTATAAATTTTTTGATAATAAATGAACTAAAATACTGTCATTTAAATTATATTATAAAATATTAAAGCACACAAATCTTTTTTTAAATCTCTAAAAATATCTCAAACAAATTTTCTGATTTTTATTTATATCAAATAATGTATCAGTAGAGACTTTATTTGTTTGGAGTTTAGGCTTTAGTACTGCATAAAATAAAATGTTGCAGCAAATTATAAACAAATAAAAATCTATTAGTGGATAATTGTAATGAATTTTCAGCCTTAACTAGAAACTTTAGAACAGTTAAGTTTATTTGCTCTGACATCTTTTTATCATTGGAAAGATTCTTCTGAACAGCAGGTGTTCAGGTGCATGACCTTTAGATGAAAACAATATGTGCAGAATGAGTTTAATCTCTTTCAATGCAGAAAATTTTATTTGACTCAATGATAAATCTCTCAAATTAAAAATCTTGTGGTTGTGCTTGTCTTAAACAACAAATTGAACGTAAGTATTGATTGTCAGTTGGAGCAACTCTTCCAATCTTTATAAGCAACTCTCTTCCACTTTTCCCAACCTCTTCAATCATTTTAATAGGCTTTCCTTGCTATGAACAAGATTATTTGTATTTTTAATAAAATATTTTAGATAAAATTTAATAAATTAATAAAATATTTATAAAATAGAATAACCATTTTGGCATAGAGAGAATTTTTGCAATGGCATCAAAATCAAGTTGGAAATACATTTATATCAAAACTGAAACCTTAGTGTACATAGTCTCAAACTAGTGTCACCTATGTTGGCCTACTACAAAGTAAGTAGTTGTCCATTTTGTTATAGCAACAAAAACAAACCGAATTTCTAGATTCATTATAATTTTTTCTCTTAAAAGATGAGCCATTTAAAATGTAATATTTATCCTGGGTAGATTATAAAAATAATATCTACTTTTATTATTAATAAAAATAAATGTTTTTAAAGTAAAGAAGTTATAAAAAGTTATAAAATTTTTATACAAATTTTAAAAATTTTAACAATTAGTATTCATAAACAAGGCATCAAGCTTTAAGAGCTTTATTAGTGAAACTATTGAAGGTATTATTATATATTAAGTTAACCACATTTTGAAGACAAAGACAATGGATGGTTGTGTGGGTTTTTACGATTTTTATGATAAGAGATTGCTAAAGTAATGAAAAATGATACTTTTTAAAACACTATTTAATCATTTATATTACATAGATTGTAGTATTTACTCATTTATACCACAGATTATAGAAATTATTCATGTCAAATTCAGTGAAAAACATTCTCATTGAATTCATACTCAAGACCTGTGTTTCATAAGAAGTTAAATTTAGTCCAATTTTTATGCTTGTGAAATCAATAACATTAATAAAAATTTATTTTTAGTGCCGATTGCGTGATCTAACTTATTCTGCTCCAATCACTGTTGATATAGAGTACACAAGAGGAAATCAGGTTATTATATATATGCATATATGTATATATGTATATATATATGTATGTATATATGTATATATGTATATATATATATATATATATATATATATATATATTTATATATATATATATATATATATATATATATATATATATATATATATATATATATATATATATATATATATATATATATATATATATATATATATATATCATTAGATGTTCATACTAGGATACTTTATTGTTATAGAGAGTCGTAAGAAACAGTTTACCAATTGGGAGGTAAGTTTTTTTTTAGTGTTATGTATTGGCTTGACAGTTATTAAATATTTAATATTAACTTTGTTAATCATTTTTAAAAATACAAAATTAAACAAAAAAAGTCTTGATTTCAATTTATTCCATTTATTTATGTTACGCTGAATTTGCATATTTTATTTCAGCAATGTTTGCATATGAATTCAGCAATGTTGTTGCCGAATTCCCAAAATACGCAGAACCTAAGCAAACTCATGTGAACCTGGAAGATTATTTTACGATCTGTGGAACTACCGAGTTCTATCAGCGGTTTTTGAGTTGTTTTTTAAACATTTACATCGTTTATTGATTTGTTTTAAACATTAGCTCATTTAAACATTAGAGTAATTTAAATTAAACAACACCTTACTTAACTCATAGTTACTACTAAGCAAAAAAAGTTCTAAATTTGCATTTATAATCTAGAATTATTCTTTTTTCAAAGTTTTTCAAAAAAATGTTTTCTTTATTAGTTATTTTAACGAAGTTTTTTACTTAAACTATTTTTTTAGATACTATTGCTGGAGTTTTGTATTTTTAACTCAGTTTCTATTTTTAGATTAAAAAAAAAAAAAAAAGTAAATAAAACAAGAAAAAGAAAAGTGAAACAAAAATATCTGAATCTGAAAAAAAAGATGAATTTTGGGTTTAGACTCTACATTAGATGAATAAAATTAAAATTAGTAAAGATTACCAAATCTATTTAACCACTTAAAAATTTTTTAAAACCTTGACCACTACCAACTGAATCTAATCGTACTAACTCTCGCAAAGTCTTTTCTTCTTTGAGGACATCATTGACAGTTGACTGATAATATTTGGTGGATTAAATACTATTACGTTCCAAAAAAGAATTTAATATTTCATGTTTTGTACCAACTTTGTATTTTTCACCTCTTTTTTTAATTATCACCCTTATTAAATTAGCTGGATCTCCATGTCCATAATCAAACTGCCAATAAGCACATTATCACCTGTTTTCAGAAGATCTAACTGTTTATTTCAAACTTTTCTTTGCCTGTTATTTCAACTTTTTCACAAGTTATTTCAACTTTTCTTTGCCTGAATACACAATTTATTTCAACTTTTCTTTGCCTGAATACACAAGTTATGAGCAGCCATTTCTCTCTTTTTAATTGCTGGGTGGATAGAAGCTAAGGATAGAAGCTGCTAATTGCTGGGTGGATAGAAGCTAAGGATAGAAGCTGCTAATTGCTGGGTGGATAGAAGCTAAGGATAGAAGCTGCTAATTGCTGGGTGGATAGAAGCTAAGGATAGAAGCTGCTAATTGCTGGGTGGATAGAAGCTAAGGATAGAAGCTGCTAATTGCTGGGTGGATAGAAGCTAAGGATAGAAGCTGCTAATTGCTGGGTGGATAGAAGCTAAGGATAGAAGCTGCTAATTGCTGGGTGGATAGAAGCTAAGGATAGAAGCTGCTAATTGCTGGGTGGATAGAAGCTAAGGATAGAAGCTGCTAATTGCTGGGTGGATAGAAGCTAAGGATAGAAGCTGCAGTACTTGGCATTGAGTTGCTCTTAAGATCGATATTATTAGAATACATTGTTACTAATAATATACAATAACATTGTTACTAATAATATATGTACTATTTATCCCACTTCCAAAACTTTCAAAATCTTAATTAATTGAATTTAATACAGTTATTTTGTTATTTATACTTTGTGATATATCAAATAATAGTGTAATAGCATCTACACTAGTAACAAGTACTGATATGTCATCTTGAAATATATTTTTTTCACTAGTTATTTCCTCTTGTAAAACAGCATCTTTACTACTAACATTAAGTACTGGTACGTCGTGATTTTGTCCAGTTTGTTCTTTCCCTTCCAACAAAAAATCTATATCTTCTTTAAAAACTCCATTGTTAATTTTCATTAAATATACCAGAGGAATTAGTGAAGATAATGTCATTATAGGTTGCTGACCAAACACAACACTCTATGCATCATTTTAGTAGCTTTGTGATAAGTAGTATTAATTCCCCATTGAATCAGTGTAATGCAAAACTCCATTTATTTGTTTTATTGACTTTCATCTATGCAACCAATGCTTTTTTTTAAAGTTGAGTTGCTTTGCTCAACTGAAACTTGATTTTGTGGATATCGTGGTCATTAACTAATTGTAAGTTTTCCTACAACATGAATATCTAAGCTTGTATATTCCCTTCCATTATCTGATTGTAAAATATTGGGTGCCACAAAGTCTAGAAAAACATTATATAGTTCTATGGCAACTTCAGATGCTTTTTTTTTAACAATAGAGGGACGCAAAATACTATATTTTGTTAAATGTTCTTGATAGTGAAAGATAAACTTAAAATCACCATCAGGCAAACATAGAAAATCAACAAGATCAACTTGTTCTCTTTGATTAAAGTCATTAACTGTAATAGGATGGGCAGCAATTCCTTTATGAACAGGTTTCTTTGAGTTTTCAGTACATTTTTCACATTTGCTTATAAAACTCTTGACAAAAGCTAATGTTATATTACTGTAATGTTCAGCAATTTTTTATGTATTTGTTTCTTTATGGCCACAAGAAGTATGCAAGGATTATAGTCATAATATTATTATATTCTGTTTTCATAATTCGTCTGTCTAATATTTTTTGCAACTTTTGTTATTCCATCTAAAACAACTAATTTATAGGTACTTTTCACATAAAAATAATGCATTGGAGAAGTTAAATTTTATTCAGAGTTTAAAATTTCAAGTGATTTTTGCTTTTTATAGTTTTTCACTTCAGTTGACATTTTATATTAACTTTAAATAATTTTAAGAATTTTGAACTGTAGGAATGATTTTGCTTTTTCTCGATTATGTGTCATAATAATATTTCCCTGATTCAGCAACAACAGTGCTGAATACATATAATACACACAATTTTACTGATTTCACAAGTTCGACAAAATCGCAAATGTTTCTTTTCTTAGATAGTGTATGTATATTTGTTTGTATATTTACATGTACATTTTACTTGCATACAAAATACAGTTAACGGAGATAGGTGAGGCTCTAGGTATGGCGAAAACAACTTTTCATGATCAAGTTGCTAGTTTTCTGAACAGCAAAACAGGTTGTTAAGGATTACTTCAACTGTGTCATATTTAAAGGGATCCCAAACCTCCAAGTCATATAAAAGAGAAGAGATTGATTTAATGAACATACGAAGAAATCAATGAAGAAGTCATGTTCTAAAACTCTTTGGAATATAACGCTCTTGAATAAATTATCAAGTCTGTAGATTGTGGTGTATATTATGTTGACTTTTTGGCCTACAATAAAACGGAGAAGGCAAGCTTTGACTAAAATAAAAAAGTTAGTTTTTCTTGGTATTCATTTATTCTTTTGTTTTAATCAAAAAAATTTAGCCCATACATTTTTTTTTATCATTCTCTTTAATATGAACACAACATGTCTTGGAGGTTTGGGATCCCTTTAAGACAGTATTATATATGGTTGAGGGAGCCACCATAAGCAAAGAAACTTTTTTAAAGCATTTTTCAACTTTTTTAAAACCAGATGCTAACTATTTTTTAACAAAATTTTTTAATGTTATTCACCTCATTAAGGCTGAGAAGGCTTCTAAAGTCAAGGAGGCTTTACTGTAATTACAACCCTCTCTTAACTCTGTAACTCCAAAACACGTACCTTGACAAAAAAAGCTGCAGAAACAAGTTGAGGATGGTACTACCAGGGATGTGGTGGGGATCGAACTTTAGTTAGTTTAACATACACCATAGTTAAAGTATTTGAAAAAATATTTACAAAAACATATTTTTACTCATCTGTTAAAAAAATAATCTGCAAACTTAGTCAACAGACTTTATCTGAATCGCTCTTGTAAAGCAAATCTCCTTCTATAATGCAACCATTAGTGAACAATCAACTTAGATAAAAGTCTCTCTGTCAATAATATTTACCTTGACTTTAAAAAAGCATTTGAAAGAGTCCCACATACACATCTTTTAAAACTAAAAGCCTTTGGAATTAATGGTCTGATTTTCAATTGTATAAAAAAACTTTCTAACAAAATGAAGACAAAGAGTAACGATAAATGGTAATTATTCTGATTGGGTACCAATAAAAAGTGGAGTTCCCAAGCAAAGTTCTGTTCTTTCAGCACTATTATTCATGAAACATTAAATTACGTTAATAATGATTCTAATATGATTCTTAAATGCAGCACTTTTTGCCAATGAAACAATAATTTACCCTCTTACTAATATGCATTCACACACCCTACTTCAAAATAATATTCGTATTTTAGTTGACTGGTCAACTAAATGTGGGATGAAATTTAATATAGATAAATGTTCAGTCTACACCTATGCTACAAAAGCAAACATCATTTATAAACTATGTATGATCTAGTGATACTAGATCAAACATAGTTTATAACATCTACTTAAAGGCAAACAACAATTTGAAAAAATGCTAAGAGGAACATCTAAATTAGTTGATGGATTAAATAATCTTCCAAAAACCATGATTGATTCAAGAGGACATTCAAACTATAAACTTTAGACACCACATACATAATATTTATTTGTGACAGGCAAATATGTTTGCATGAAAGGCAAATATATTTATTTAAATATATGTATGTGGTATATTTTTATATATTATGTATGTGGTATATTTTGTATATGTATGTGGTATATCTATAGTTTATAGTTTGAATATATACTATATATATTCAAACTATAAACCGTAGTTATAGTTTGACCAGGGGCATGCTGATTGAACTAGTACTGGGTAATTTAAAACTTCTCTTTTAAAAAGTGAGTGTTCTTAATAATCTGAAAAAATTTAAAAAAATTGTATAAAAAATATTAATGTAAAAAATAAAAGTGTCAAAAATAATAGTGTAATAAAATAATAGTATAGTAAACAAATTAAAAAAAAAATTTTCAATTTACTCTTTAATATAATTTTTTTTATATTTTTGGGAATAATAAAAAGGTAAAAATGACTGTATTGTCCTCTAGAACAATAGGATGTTGATTAAAATCAATGGAAAAAAAAAAAGAGCTTTTAAATTGCACAAGACAAAATTATTATTATTTTTTTAAATACGTCTAAATGTAGTCAGAAGCTCTATATAATGATTTGGTCTTTTCAGATGAAGTTGATCATGATTTTCACAGGGCATCTAATTTGAACCATCTTAAGTTGTATTTTTTTATCAATGTCTCCTTTTGTATCCTTTAATAGTATCAATGTCTTCTTTTGTATCCTTTAATAGTATCTCCATTTGTCTCCTTTAATAGTATCAACGTATTCCATGTATCAACATTTTATGTATTTATATTAATATAATTTACTTGGTGTGTTTACCTATTATTTATAAAGTTCATAGTTTATATAATTGTTTTATCAAAAGAAGACTTTTTTAGAATGCCAATCATGCTGCGTAGCTCAAACTGCGTACTTGCAGGCAAAAATGAAATAGAGTTAGCCAAGTTAAACGAATGTCCTATTGATCCAGGTTGGTTTCTTTAATTTAAGTTTGGCTTTTAGAATAGAAGTTTTTAAAATAAAGTGAACCTAAGATATTTAGTTAATAAAAACATTTTATTTACAGGTGGATATTTTGTTGTTCGTGGCTCTGAAAAAGTTCTTCTTATTCAGGAGCAGCTGTCAAAAAATAGAATGATTGTTGAACTTGATACCAAGAATCATCAAGTGAGTTGCTCAGTTACAAGGTAATAAAATAATTGCTATAGTTACTAAGTAACAGTTAAATATTTTTAATTTTTTGATGACTTGTTAATTGAATAAATCTTTTATTTTTTCATGTCTAAAAAAAGTATGCAAATGTTATGTATGTTAAGTATTCAAAGGGACTGGTACTGAGACTTCTAATTTTTCTTGAGGTTAACTTTGTTATGAATAAAAAATAGGTAGAGCATAAGAGTAATGGGATTTTTGACACTAAAAAGTTTTATTTTCTTTTTCTGTATTTACAGACACTAAATTCTTTAAACTCACAAAACTTTAATTTGAATGAAAAATTAACTCAATTAACTAAAACAAGGTAAAAATGTTGTAAAATGGAAATATTTTGTTTCCAGCTTCTCTGCATTTGACTCTTATGTCAAGTTGAATGAATAAAAATATCCTATTTGATTTTGATTTCTTAAATTTGTTTTTATGATTTTTGCAAATTACAATTTTTTTTTAGGAAATATATAATTTTTATTTGTATTTTTTAATAATAATTTTTTAGTTAGTAATTTAGTGATTTTTTTTTAGCAAGTTATAAACTGAATACCTTTTTATATATCCCGCAATAGTTTTACAGATATATATATATATATATATATATATATATATATATATATATATATATATATATATATATATATATATATATATATATATATATATATATATATATATATATATATTCGTAATATATATGAATGTATTAATAAATATATATATATATATATATATATATATATATATATATATATATATAATCCTGGGTCTACTCAAAGTCGACAGCGATTATTTTTTACGCCATAATTCGACATAAAAGATTTTCTTTTTTAATTCATTTTTCACTAACAGAAAAAAAACAACATAGAAATATTAAAATACAAGTCTATATATTTATTATTGTTGACTTGATGCAAGATTTACGAGTAGAATAAGTCTACTTATAGTTGAAAAATAACATATTATATAATGTCTAAATGCTAATTTTTTTTTTAAACTGGTCATATATTATTTTAACTAAATAGTTTATCTATATTTTAAACAAAAATTATAATAAATATATCTTTATATTTCAAACAAAAAATGCAATCTCTTAACTATCGACCTATAGATCGTATATGTAAAACGAGTAAATATACGTACTTTTAAAAAAAGTTATTGTTTATAGTTTTCCGCATTTTTTTTTGTTAATGTTTTTCATAGAAATCTCTTGAGTATAATATAGACATTACAATGGTATCTTTTTTTTAAATTTCCATTGAACTAATCGTTACTAAAATTCATTCAAACGTAAAGTCGACAGGAAATCTGTTGACTTATGAAAATTGTTGACTTGACGATGGTTATAGAGACATAGTTTGTCGTATATATGTATATATATATATATATATATTTTATATATATATACATATATATATATATATATATATATATATATATATATATATATATATATATATATATATATATATATATATATATATATATATATATATGTATATATATGTATATATATGTATATATATACATATATATATATATATATATATGTGTGTGTATATATATATATATATATATATATATATATATATATATATATATATATATATATATATATATATATATATATATATATATATATATATATATATATATATATATGTATATACGGAAAAAAAACACATCTAAACTACTTTTCAGTATTTGTGTTAATAAGATATAAAATATTCTAATAATTCTAAACGGGAGGTAATCCACTGGTATTCAGAGTGGTAGCCCTCCTATGAAGACCAACTCAACATCAAAGAAGTAATCCACTGTTGTTTGTAGTGGTTGTTTCTCTTTCATTGCATTGGTGGAAATCGAGGATTGAGATAAAACTAAACTCACTGACCAACAAAAGAATTGTATAGCTTTGATGATTAACAAAGCATTTGAAGAGCTAAAGGATGACTTTCAAGTGAAACTAAATCAACAAACTAAACTATTTGAAGTGAAATTAAAGGAAAAAGATGCAGAAATAGCTGAACTTAGTGAGAAAGTAAAAAGACTAGAAGAACACAATGCAAATTTACCACCTTCTAGTTCACCTGCTGTTTGTTACAGCCAAATTGCTAAGCAACTAGCCAAACCAGGTTCTGAGCTGTATGATGCTAGCATCAAAGTGTCAAAAAGTCATGAAATATTATCCAGTAAAAAGTCTAAAAATGTTGTAATTTTTGGTTTGCCTAACTCACAAAAAACTATAATCGAGGATCGCAAGACAGATGACAGGAACATGGTCAACAAATTAATACGTTCGCTGAACAGACGAATAATAATAAAATCAACATTCAGATTAGAATCTAAAGTTCCCTTGGTAAACAATGCATCTAAACCGTTAGTTGTTGAATTTGAGAATGAAGTAGCACAAAACGAGATGCTGGCTGCAGCAAGGGAACTGTCAACTATTGAGGCCTACAAAAAAGTATAAACCAAAACCTGAGTAATGTAAAACTTCCTATTTATTTAAAGCAAAATACTAGTACTAACTATAAACCAATTAAATTTTATTATACTAATGCTACCTCCTGTAACTCTAATAAATTATCTGAGCTGTCCACACTTGCTTTGGCATATGAAATTGATGTTATCGCAATTGCAGAAACTTAGTTTAAATTGGATTCGATTAAAATAATTGATGGCTATGAACTGTATCAGGCAGATAGAAATAGAATTGGAGGTGTTGCCATTTATGTAAATAAAAGACTTACAAATATAGAAATTGTAAATGTGCATCTTAACAACAAAGAGATCGAACAAGTCTGGTGCTCAATAAATTGTAATAATTTTCATTTAATTGTTGGTTGTGTATATAGACCACCAAAGTCTACAGCTGATTACTCAAAATTGATTCTAGACTCAATCAGAACCGCTTCAAAACTCAAAAGTGGAAAAAAATACACTGATCTCATAGTGGTCGGAGATTTCAATTTTCCTTATATAGAATGGACAGATGATGGTCCAATAATTCATTCAAATGGAAACTCAATTGAACATGAATTTATTAAAGTTTTAAATGATTGTTCTCTATACCAAATAGTAAATTTTCCAACATTCAAACAAAATGGCTCTGTTTCAGCAGTTAACACCCTTGATCTTGTTTTAGTTTGCAATCCAAATTGCATTGATTTTCTTCAATGTGGTCCACAGTTAGGCCACTATGAAAAGGGAAGATACCATTACTCCATCACTTAACAATATTTTACTAGTCTTAGTAACAATACAGTACTCACAAAAGATAAGTTTTGCTTTAAAAAAGGTATTTTTTTTCAAATGAATAAATACTTGAAACAAGTCAACTGGGTTGAGCATTTTTATAACAAATCAGCCTGTGAATGTTATGAGTTATTTTTGCATACATATAATGAATCTTGTCGATTGTTTATTCCTATTTTGAATAATAAAAAAAAGAATAGTCAACCCTGGTTGGATGCAAAAGTTAAAAAAGCAATAAAGAATAAACATTCTATGTTTTATTCAAATTTGCATCGGCAAAGTCAAGAATCTCGAAAGGCTTTTAACAAAATGTGTGCTTATGTTAAAAAGCAAATCAAAAGATCAACTCGAGAATACGAAATGGATTTAGTAAAGAAAGCAAAGCTTGCACCAAATCTTTTATTCTCATACGTAAATAAAAAACAAAACATTTAAACGCAAATTAGAGCAATCAAGAACAAAAATGATCAAGCTACAAATGAGATATCAAACATTTCAGATATATTAAATAGGCAATTTCAGTCAGTCTTTGTTAATGATAATGACCAACCAATACCCGAATTCTTGCAAAGATGCGAAAACCAGTGCGATTGCAGTAAATTATCTAATATAATTACCTATGAAAAAATTCTCAAAATGTTAGAAGGTATGGATGAGTCAAAAGCAATGGGTTTTGATGAAATTAGTCCGTTTGTTTTAAAGCATGCTGCAGAAGGTTTTGTGGACCCAGTTGTTCATATTTTCAAATTAAGCTTTGACACTGGATGTGTACCTTACCACTGGTCTGTTGCAAATATATCACCAATTTACAAAGGGGGATCAAAACTTGAACCAGAAAACTACAGACCAGTATCCCTAACATCTGTGATTTGTAAAATGTTCAAAAAGCTCATTTGGGACACAATTCTGCAACATTTAGTTTCAAATAGACTTATAACTGAGGAGCAAACTGGTTTTGTTCCAAACAAATCATGCACAACAAATCTTATTGAGACAATTGACACAATTACATTTGAAACTGTAAAAGGTAAACCGTTATGCGTCATATATCTTGACTTCGCAAAGGCTTTTGATAAAGTAGAACACAAAAAATTATTGACAAAGATTAAAGCGTATGGTATAACTGGTAAAATATATAACTGGATTGAAAGTTTTCTTGCAAATAGGAAACAAAGAGTTGCTATTAGTAATACAGTTTCAGAATGGGTATCAGTTACCAGTGGCCTGCCTCAGGGTTCAATTTTGGGTCCAATGTTGTTTCTGCTATTCATAAATGACCTCCCAGAAGTTGTGCTAAACACATTTAAAATGTATGCTGATGATAGCAAAATAATAGCCATAGAAGATTCCATTGATAAACAAGCGGAAATACAAACCGACCTTGTGAAATGGTGCAACAATTGGGGTATGGAACTAAACTGCAAAAAATGTAAGGTGATGAGATTCGGCAATCAGAAAGTTTTTAGAGGTATTGATAAAACATACACAATCAATATAAATGGAATGATTTATGACCTCTCAAACAGTGTATTAGAAAGAGATCTAGGTGTCTTTGTACAACCGGATATGAGGTGGAAGTATCAAACGCAAGTATGTGTTAAGAAAGCTTCAAAAATACTGGGGTTATTGAAAAATGCCTTTGAAAGTAGAGATTGTTTTATGTGGAAAATTTTGTATACTACTTATGTGCGACCTCATCTTGAATTTGCGGAGTCCTTCGAATGTGGCCGAAATCTCAATGCTTGAAAGAGTTCAACGTAGGGCCACAAAATACCATACTCAAACCGAATGCTAAGTTACGAGAAACGGCTAGTTAAAATGGATTTAATTAATTTAAATCTCAGAAGAAAACGAGGAGACCTTGTTCGTTTATATAAGATATTAAACAATCTAGAATTTGTCAATCTTAATGTCAATCAAGTCTATAAGTCAAGCATTAAATTAGATGGCCCATGTTCTTCCATTAGAGGTCTCAAACATAAAATTAGAATGCAGTGTTTTACTCCTCGCGAAATAAATGACTTTCATGCATCGGTTAGCTCCAGAATCCATTTCTTCACAAACAGAGTTTGCCAAATTTGGAACAAACTTCCGGAAAAAGTTGTAGATTCCGAGAATTTGAATAGTTTTAAAGCAAGTTTAGACGAATGGCTTAAGAAAAATAAGAAAATATTAATTTAAAAGAAAAAAAAAAAAAAAAAAAGTACTGGGCTGCTATAGCTGAACGTTGCAACGTCTCAGCTTGTGGATAAGATCCATGCAGTTTACCATTTTGTATATATATATGTATATATATGTATTTATATATATATATATATATTAAGTTTAAAAAAGGAATACTAATATGTTAATTATTAAATATTAAGTTATTTTTGTATTTATAAAGTTTAGTCATGAAGAACTATTACAAAGATTAAAATGAAAACAAAGAAAATAATAAAAAAATGTTGACCGTCCAAAAAAACAGTTGACCTGCAATTCCAAGGGTTAGCTGGTCAAATTGACCACTCGCCTCCGATTTCTTATTTTATACATGTATATATACATATACATATATATATATATATATATATATATATATATATATATATATATATATATATATATATATATATATATATATATATATATTTATGTATATATATATATATATATATATATATATATATATATATGTATTGACTATAAGATGAGGATATATATATATCCTCATCTCGTAGTCCAAAGACACTTTTATGGTAAAAAAGAACTCCTTTAACATTTTAACAACTTCAACAATTAAGCTACATTTTAATGTCAATCAGAAGTTAAACAATTAAAATAATGCGGAAGTACATTAAGTTTTATCGTTTTTTAAAAAATCGCATTAATAAAATTGTAAGACTTAATAATAAAATAAAAATAAAGTTTTTTTGTGACAAATTGCTTTAAAAGACTTTGGTAATTAGAACTTGATAAATGAGTTGGATACTTGTAAAGCTAAAAGATAAAGGTGTTTCAAACTTGCTTTTTTTTTTTTTTGCTAAGAGCCTTTTATATCTGTTTCAGTTTATGCTTTTTTTTGTTTTGTTTGTTTTGATTTTGTTTTTGTTTCGATTTGTTTCTTTACTCTTCTGTGAACTTTGTTCAGATGGTTTCAGATGGTCAGAATTTTTGTTGTCTTAATATCAGATATAGTCAAACAAGTAATTTTTTCAAACAAGCAATTTTTTTTGTTTAATCAAGTTGAGAAATGATTACATACCTACTATCATACTCAACTGTCATTATTGTATAACGACAGTATTGACGTTTACACTGATGTTTGTACATATAGTTATAAGTGGTTTTTTATATTTGAATATTACACATGGTCATTTACATTTGTTTACATTTGCATAATAATAATAGTAAAATTTTATTTAATTATAATTTATTTAAATGTAATCTTTGTACTTGCAATTTATTTTGTTGAGAAAATGTTAAGGTTTTCATCATCATTTTGAATTATAATTTTTAAGGATGAACAAATTGTAAATTAATTGAATGATTCCAAAACTATGATTTGCATGATTTGTGAGTAAATGTTTTTCTATATTTTAAGCAAACTTTGTGTGTTTAAAACTTAAAGTTTAGTTCAGTTTATATTTAATAAAGAAAACTGAATCTTTCCTATTCTATTTCTTGTTCTCACATCAACAACATCGGTTAAACATAGGTTAAACACATCAACATTCTGTATATTTTTTAATATAATTTTTAGCTTTACTCCATTGCAAAACTAGTTGAATATTGTCTTTATTTTGTTGAATAACAAAGAGGATTAGAGCAAAATTTAAAAAAGGAATGACCTTGATTTTGATAGCCTCCTCTGGAGCCTTGTAAAATGAATTTTGTTTGAAAAAATAATCCAATTGTACTTATTTTTTTTCAAAATAAAATTTGAAAAATATGCATTTGAAAATTACATATTTTTCAATAGAAAACTCTTGACAATAAACACCTATTTATTTTTCAATGTAAAAAGGTGCTATCTGATGTTAAGCTCAATTATTCTCAGTTCACTAAATCTCATATCTTATCTCTGAAGTTAGGCTAGAGACTTTAATGAATGGTTACTCTCTAACTGAGTTCTTTTCTTCATGTTTTGTTTACTACTGACCTTTCATGGAAACCATATATCCAATCAATTGCTAAATTAGCATCTGTTAAGGTTACTTCTCTTCATCATGCATGCCATTATCTTACTCCTGATTCCATTTTCTGCCTATACAAATTCGACCCTGTATGCTGGTTCTTCTAATGGTTCTTTTTCTCTTTTCGACAATATTTCCAAAAGCTGTATCTGTTTCCTTTTATTCTTTTAGTTTTTTTCCCCACTCTATAACCCTTTCAAATTTTTTTCCAACTGGTTTTCACTCATTTTTAAGTCTTCCGTCAACTGTCTCCTTGCTCTTAAATCCTATTCTTTATTTTCTAGTAACTCCCTACTTAATAGTGGTTGCATGCAGCCTTGTTGGGAGTATACAAATAAAAATAAATAAATTTAAAAAAAAAAAAATTTTTTTAGTAATTTTTTTATTATTTGCTATGTAATTCTGCTATACAATATAGTTGCATTTATTTAGAGTATCCGCTTGAAAAGTGGTTACAATTGGTATAAAAAGTTTATAAATTGGTTTGTTTTTTGCTTGGATACAGGTCTTCAGTAGCTCAGTGGTTTAGTGTGCTTTACTCAGTTCTATCATCCGAACACTCCTTGGATTCAAATCTGTTAAGCATAAAAACTTTTTTTAGTTTCTTCTATATTGTTGCTTTTTTAAATGCAAAAAAAAAGTTTAAGCAAAAAAAAATTATATTCTTCAGGGATTATCTTTTTCTGGATATTTTCGGAATTCCGGATATTTTTTTCAACTTTTAGTTTTTCTGGAAATCCCAAACATTTTCAATACATGCAAGTTTAGGTATTTTTGTAATATATTTGTTTTTAAAGCTTTTTTACTTGTTACTCATAGAAAAATTATGAAATGTGTCAAAAAAATTTAGAAACAACTTTTTTTTAAATACACATTTACCAAATGTAAAGTTGAAATTTTGTGCTAAGAAGAAAAAGATAATTAATCTTGTCACACACTATATTCTTCCTTAAATTTTCCTGCTTGTATTTGAAAAAACAAATGTTTAATGTTTAGTGACTCGCAGTGGAGTGCTGCTACATCGACTGAGGGTTTGGGATGGGAAAGCAATCGTTTCATTCATCATTCTTCGTTTTTTCTTTTTCGAAAAAAACAGTATAGCTTATAGTAAGCAGAAAAAGTGAGCAAATGCTTATCAAAACACGCTTTAGGAAGTGTATATATATATATATATATATATATATATATATATATATATATATATATATATATATATATATATATATATATATATATATATATATATATATATATATAATTATAATTATAATTATATATTTTAAAAGGAAAACAAATATTACAAAACAAATACTCTCATTATTTTTAAATTTAAGTTTAGTTGATTTGTGTATCCAAATAAAATTAATTTTTATTTTCTAACCTGGCTGGGTTTTATGTTTTTGGGCTGGGCTGGGCTTTGCGCAATTTAGAAACAAGTTAGAAACAAGCTAAAGTGAAATTAAAAAGAAAATAAGGAAAAACAAATTCCGGATTTTTTCCGGATATTTTATGCAAACAATTTTCCGGATTTTTAAAATATGACTAGAATGATCTATGAATTTTTTATTATACATATATTATACACCATCTTTACATGACCCGCCAACTCAACTTAATCTACTGATGCTTAGGTTTACAGATGTTATTATATAAGATTATCATATTAAATACTTATATTAGTGAATATATAAATATCATTTAAACCTAAATCTGAAATAGTTGAGTCTTCCAGTGTGCATTTTTTTTTTGTTACATCTTGATATTTCCATATAAATTCAGTGTAATTTTGTTTCTATTTCAGTGCAACACATGAAGTGAAAAGTAGAACAGCTGTCATACAAAAGCATGGAAAGTTTTATTTGAAGCACAACTCATTTACTGAGGTAAAAAGCAACATCTTGTTTATAACACATTCTGACTAATTTAATAATATTGAATTTATTTATCAAACAAATTTATTATAATAAAAAATAAGTATATATAGTATCTTAAGAAGCAGGTATGTGGAGTCCCAAAATGACTCCGGCTTTATAACTTTATTTTTTCATGGTCTCTGGTGTCCAGAGACACTAAACATGTTGGTTAATTAATGATCTACTTTACAAAAAAAATTTATATTTAATAAATTGATTTAGATTTTGAAATAGATTTGATTGAATTCAAATCTTGTGATTGAGCTGGCTATTGAAATAAGTCTGCTTTGTTTTCATTCATCTACAGTCAGTCTGCTTTGTTTTCATTCATCTGCAGTCAGTCTGCTTTGTTTTCATTCATCTCATTCGTTCATCTACAGTCAGAAAAATAAGTATCTGAATAAAACATTTATTTATAAAAAATAAACATGCATGAAAACATACTTAAATTTGATTGTTCTCAAAACATCTAAAAACCGAGGTCAAGTTATCACAACTAAATATAATATTTGAGGTCAAGATCAAAGTGTGATCCGACCTGCTTCCCTACAAAGCCTGGTATTTGTTCTCATCAATGTTTTCAGTAGCATCTTTAATTAACAAATTTTACATTTTATTTCTTTTATTACAAGTTGAAAATTTTTAAGTTTTTTTTAATGTCAAACAAAACAAATATTATTTGTAATCTTTATAATTTAGTTAGCTGAGGTGCTCTGTGTTCACAAAAAGATAAGCAAAAGTTTGGATTATTTAAAGGAAGCTAGTGAAACTTTTTCTACAGATGTTCAGCTGACAAAATAGAAGGCTTGGCTTCAAAAAAGAAAATTTTCAAGACAATTGAGCTGGCAAGAAAATAAATAAGCCAGCAATCAAATCAAGAAGCTATTCAAAGTATAGGGATAGAGGAACAAACATTTAAAGACGCACTTCGAAGTCTTCCCAAATTAGTGCACAACCTTTAGAATAAAAAAGATACTTTCACGTGTAAAAAAGCTCTAGAAGGAATACAGTTTTTCCTTTCTGTTATTCATTCATCAAGTTAGTGTAGAATGAGCATTTTCAGCACTTAAATTTCTGATTACAGACCAAAGAAATCATATGGCATCAGATCTTATTGATGATTTGTTATTTCCAAAGACAAACAAAGAATACAATTGATTTGCTTGAGCTTTAGTTTAGGGTTAATAATGTATAGAAATAAATGTATATTTACCGAAAAACATTTTTCTTTTTAAATGTTATATGTGGTGGTAGAGTAGTGATAGAAATGCATTCACTTTGTAAACATAAAAGTTTATTAAAAATTGGTCAGGATTTGGATAGGCAAATGTGATAAAAAAAAAAATTCCAAAATTTGCAATTTTTGTTCATAAAGTCCTTAGAAAGAGGGGACCAAGCCGGAGCCAGACAGTTCTTCAGAGCCTGAGCCAAAGCCATAAAAAAAACTTTTCAGTTTAAGCCTGCAGATTGCTGATGATTTCTAATGCCAGTTGCTTTGTTTATCTACCTTAGTATTTTACCTTGCTTTAACAAGTCAATAACCAAATTGCGCTGAGCTTGTAACCATTCCTTGATTTGAACTTCCATACTTGATGATATCAATGGTAAAAATGAATTTGAAAAATATCAGTCAATTATTAAAGGTTTCTCATTATTAAACAATAATATTTCTATAACTATTAATTAAAAATTTTTAGTAATCAACTTCAAAACTTCGTTTACAAAACAACATGTTCAGATAATTAATATTTCGTTGAGGTTTTAACATTCCTAAGGAATTTGTTAACATTCATAAGGAAGTCGTAACATTCCTTAGAAAGTCGTAACATTCCTTAGGAAGTTGTTAACATTCTTTATGAAGTCGTTAAATTCTAGCAACCATTAATGAACATAAGTTTATTTTGTGCTATTTAAAATCAAATCAATTTTTGACTATAAAATGTGAAAAATTGATTTGATTAGCCTAGCCGACCAATGTATGGTGTTAATGTTAATGAGGTTAAATTAACTCAATTAAATTAATTACTTATAACTTTACTTGTAACTTATTAAATAAATAGAAAAGAATAGGGAAACAGACCAACTCCAAATATTTTCAGATTAGCCCTGCAAATGTTCAGTGTAATAGTTTAAATTATCAAAAATCAAAAACTAATACAAAATCTATGTTTTGATATTAAATGTTATCTTTGTAACTAAAAAAAAAAATATATATCACAAGTTATTGTTAAATGAGTCTACTTTATTATTAAACCATGAAATCATAATATGAGTCTTACTTTAAAACAAGTTTAAGAAGATTTTGATACTTAAATTTTGAATAATGCGTAAAATATTTCAGAAAAAATAAAATGTTTGGATTAACACTGGACTACTTATTATTAAAAATTTATTTTTTCAAAAACAGTAAAAAAAGTAAGTAGAAAGTTCAAGAGCATTTCAAATCATTTTAAAGCAAGAATTTCAAATCATTTTAAAACAAGAATTTCAAATCATTTTAAAACAAGAATTTCAAATCATTTTAAAATAAGAATTTCAAATCATTTTAATTAAAGGTTTTTATTTAATAAAGATTTTAGATTTTATTTTTACTTTTAACATAAATAATTTTTTGATGTTTTTTCAAAATAAATTCTATTTGCAGGTGTTTTTATAAAATATGTTTAAAAAAAAAAATACTTTAAATGTATGAAAGTTAAAAATTTTTTTGATTGCAGCTTATTATGACTTAGTTCAATGTTTAATATGTTTAGGATGTTCCACTCTGTACCATTTTCAAGGCGATGGGTATTGAGTCGGATCAAGAAATTGTTCAAATGATTGGTATTGAGGAGGAAGTGCTTAATTATTTTGCTGCATCAATTGAGGAAGCAAGCATGCTACAAATATATACCAAAAATCAGGTATTCAAATTATATTCATTTTAAATAATTTTTACTGAACAAGAAATTCTTTTGACCTTTTATACTGTAATTTGTATTTTACTAAAATACATATTTTTTTTAGGCTTTAAATTTGTTATCTAGTAAAATTAAACAAAGACAAATGTGGGGTCAGCAAATGTCTAAAATGGATGAATGCAAACAATTGCTTTTCAAAACATTACTGGCTCATGTACCTGTAGGTTAAAAGTTACTAGTAAAATTTTTATAACTTTTTAAATTTTAATGTTTAATTAATTTAAATTATCTATTGTTTCTTAGTTTTTATGTTAAAGTTTTATTTAGTATTTTACATCAAGTTTTAAAAAAACCTTAAGAGTTGTTTGATGATTATTTATTAGTTATTTTTATGATTTTTTTTTGAACCTTGTCAAGCTCACCTTTACCATATAAAATTATTCCCAGCAAGTTTATTACATTAATACTAAAATCATACAGTAGTAGCCTAAACACATACAGGAAAATTTAATTGCATACAGTAAAACATAAAAACATACAGTAGTTATCTAAAGACGTCTAAAATGCGTATTAATGCATTTTAAAGTGCTATCAGCCTGGGAAGTAATGCTAGGAAGCCTGGGAAGCACAGCTAGGAAACCTGGGAAGCACAGCTAGGAAATCTGGGAGGAATAGATTTTGCAACTTTTTATAAAATTTTCAAGAAATTCTGTTAATAAAATAAGTTCTGTAATTTTAATATAAAAATTTTTTAATTAAGTTTTCAAGTTTTAGTCATGAGTAAGAAATATAAATAAGTACAAGAAACAAGTTTTAATTTTTTTTTATAGATAACAAAAACAAACTGTCGTCCAAAAGCTGCATATCTTGCTTTGATGGTTCGAAGAATTATTCTTGCTGTAAAGGGTGTTGTGAGTTACACTTTCAAATTTTACTATTTTATATTTAATTGTGAATATTGTTTGAAAGGAATGATTATGAGCTAACTACTGTTATAAATACTAAAGTACCTGTTACCACAGTTGAAATTAATTTTAAAATTTAACCTTAACTTAACATGTTTACTTCAATGTTAAATTTTAACATTAAGTTGACATATTGTTTAATGTTTTGACTGGTTAATATGGATTTTTGGATTAATTTAATCATTGTTTATCTATTTTAACATTTAATTTATTATTTTTATAAGATTAAAATTGATGATAAAGATTATTATGGCAACAAGCGTCTAGAGTTAGCTGGTCAGTTGGTTTCTTTACTTTTTGAAGATTTGTTCAAACGATTTAATATGGAGGTATGAGTTATTTTTAAATGTTTAAGAAAATGTTGTTGTTTTTTGATCAGGAAAGTAAAATAAGTATTATATTTAGCTGAAGAAAATTGCAGATGTTACAATTCCAAAACCTAGAGCAGCTCAGGTGCATTTTAAATTATATTATTTCAAAACCTTGCATATCTTTTTTGCATTTTAAGTCTTTCAAAAGGTTATAGTTTACCAATTTTTTCAATGTTCTTAGTGTTAAAGTTTGTTGTTTTGTCTAACTTTGTTTGTTTAGTTCGACATTGTAAAACATATGAGACAAGACTTGATTTCTAATGGACTTATAAATGCTATATCGACAGTAAGTTATGTAGAAACTTGTTAATTATATAAACTTGTTAATAATGGAATAAATATCTTGCTAGGGGTCTGATGAAATTGCAAATACTATATCAATAATAAGTTAAGTAAAAAACCATTCACTTGTATTTTTATTTTTCAAAAAGTTTGTATGAATTATTTATATTTTAAGGGAAATTGGATTATTAAGCGATTTAATATGCACAGAGTGGGCGTATCTCAAGTACTTTCTCGTCTGTCTTACATTTCTGCTCTAGGAATGATGACAAGAGTAACCAGTCAAGTATGCTCTTTTAATAAAATTTGATTTTAAAATTAAATTTTGTACATTGTTGTTTTTATATTTTGTTATATATGTATTTTTAATTATTATTTTTATTAGTTTGAAAAAACTCGTAAAGTAAGTGGACCACGCTCATTGCAACCATCTCAATGGGGAATTTTGTGTCCATCTGATACACCTGAAGGAGAAGGATGTGGTTTAGTAAAAAATCTTGCATTAATGACTCATGTTACAACAGATCAAGTCCAATACCCAATTAGACGCTTATTATGCAATCTTGGAGTTGAGGTGTGTCAAAACTTTACTTTTTAAAGTATAAATTAATAATAAATGCTTTAGTTTCTATTCTATATGTATCTAAAGACCACATTCAAGTACTTTACTCTTTTTATATTTTAAACCAAGTTTTTTTATATTTTAAACCAAGTTTTAACATTTAACATAGTATATTTTATGTTTTAAACCAAGTTTTAACATTTAACATAGTATATTTTATGTTTTAACCTTAATGGTGTGGGTCAGGGGTAGCTTGCTTTGTAATGACTCTATTTTCAAAATTATGATTACCATCTTCACCATGTTCCTTGTAGCACGGCGCTCAATTTTTTTTGTCCTTGTTTGTGAAGTTAAATTTTGTTTCTGAGTTAAAAAATTAAGATTGAATATAAAAAAAGAACCTTGACTGTTATGGGCTCCTCAGTCTTGGGAGGGTCAATAAAAAAAATAAAACATATATTGAGAATTTTTTTCAACTCATAATTGTATTAATTTGAATTTGAAATTTTGTTTAATAATTCTCATTTCAATCTCTAAAATGTTGCTAATTTTTTGTGGACTTTTTTTTGTCCATTAATTTGCAAAATATTAGCAAAAAGTCTGCTCATTCAATATAAATATATCATCTTAATCTAATTTCTTCAATTTTATAAATAAAAAATTGTTAAAAAATGTTTTTTTATTTATTTATTTTCTTTTATCTTTTTTTTATTTTTTTTTAATTTCAGGTTTCTTCACAAGTATTTTCTTCTAAAATTGTTTTCTGATCAATTACATTATACTTTTTAATGGGATTCCAAAGTACAAATACACTGATGATTTTTTGAATTAAAATTTTTATTATTTAGTTATTTTAGGTTACACATTTTTTTGCGGTTGTTGCAAACTTCCATCTGAACTCTTCTCCAAATAGTATCTAGTTTTTGCTTTAGGCTATTTATGGATCTTATTTTTGACTAATTCTTAGTCCATCCTAGCTCAAATAGATTTTATTAGATTCAAATCTGGTGATCAAGTTAGCTAGGTCTATAAATCTACTTTATTTTCTTTTATTTTTTTTTGACTGCACAAGATATATCTTGTTAAAACTGCCACCATTCATTTTGATTAATCTGCATGTCTACTAATGGAACCATACAGTTCTTTAGCATCTCTATATAGGTGTGGAGTTGATTTAGTTTGTATAAATCTTATGCACACCTGCTCTGTTAAAATAAATAGCCAATAGCAATACTCCTACTATCACTTTGTACAACAAAAAAATCAACAAGTACAAAAAAAATCACTTTTCAGATTTAAATCTTTTAACAAGAATTTTTTCTAGTAATTGCTTCCACTTTCTAAATAACACCTAATTCTTTTTACACTGCCACATTAATTTTGATCATGCATGATATTGAATAACTTAATTGCTTCCACTTTCTAAATAACACCCAATTCTTTTTACACTGCCACATTAATTTTGATCGTGCATGATATTGAATACTGCTGTTTTCAATGTTTTCAACTGCTGTTTTCAATGTTTTCGGAATGGTTTTGATGCAATTCTCTGAAATTTTTAATCTTTTTTCTACTTCTTTGTTACTGATCATAAAGGCATCTTTCTTACCTTGTTTTCCACCTTGTTGTTTTGCTTATTGCTTTCATTGTTGTTTTGCTTATTGCTTTAACTCATTTCTGTGTATCTTAATTTTTAGAAGATATATAAGTTTATATTTTTTACAAGTTTAGTTTTAATATAATTTCATTAAAAAATTACTTTAAACGCTTTGAAATGACATCACAAATAGAGAAAGTGTTTTTTAATGGCAAAATCATGCGTGTTACCACTACATGCATGTGTATATATGTGTATATATACATGCATGTAGTGGTAGAGCGCTCGCTTCATAAACGAGTGGTTCGGAGTTCGATCCTCACCACTTCCCTGGTAGTACCGCGCTCAACTCATTTCTCCGCGCAGCGGCTTTGTTCATCAAGGTTCGTGTTTCGGAGTTATAGAATTGAGAGGGTTATATCCACAAATAAGTAGCCTCCTCGTCTGTAGTGGCCTTCTCGGCCTTGAGGAGGTGAATTAAAATTAAAAAAAAAAAAAAAAAAATGATGAAAAAAAATGTTTCAAACAAATTTAATCAATTAATTAAAAGTTTATTTATTTAAACAAAATTTAGTTAGTCGTACAATCGTTTATAAAAACAAAACAATTTTTCATTTTTCAATAATGTTTATTTTAAAAATGAACACTTTAACATTTTTTATGTTGAAAATTAAAAAAATATATACAACTATATTATATTAAAAAAAAAACATTTTCAGTAAATTGTTACTTTATTTAAAATTGTTTCGCTAATTAAAAACATTTGTTTAGAATTTTTGATGTATTCATTTCACTTTTTTAGAATATTTTTATTTAGCGCGTTTTTAAAATGTTTTTTGAATTAGCCACGGTCAAACCGTCATAACAAAATGTAATTTGCGTGGACATATAAAGGTGTGAAATTGCATGCTTTCCTGGGAAAGCCTGCATCTGTATATGTTTTATAGCATTTATGAAGTCAATTCCAAATTCAACTCCCCTGCAACCAACTTGCAACCAACTTTCAATATTGTAGTAACTAAATAAAAGGAAATTTAAAAAGTAGCAAAAAAAAAAAAAACAGTTGCAATGGGCCCAATTGCTTGTCATAGCCAAGAATTGAATTATAGTATCTCAATAAACTTAAATTACTCAGCAAAGCAAGCTGCTTTGCTGCTCTTTTACAGTCAGCTGTTTTCTCTCAGGAAATAATGTAATCCTAATTTTGATGATGAGGATCAAATAAATCAACTAACAGCAACAATAATAGCAAATTTTGTTTGAGGCTCCAACAAGTCAAAATAATAACTGTTATTACAAAATATGTTAAAACAAGTGTCAAAAACATAACAAATATGTTAAATGTAAAAAATATATATTTTTTTAATAAATGTTTTTTTCTGTTATCTTTGCTATTTTTATTAGCCAGTAAATAACGAGTCCATACTATTCTAAATTTTTTTTTTTCCTATTTTAACTTTTTCTTCATTAACTTCAGCTTTTAATAGGAATTATCTAAATATATCTGGAATTCCAGATATTTCTTTTAACTTTTAGTTTTTCTGGATTTCAAAAAGGTTTGCCATAAATGCAAATTTAAATATATTTTTTTGTAATATGTTTGTATTTAAACTTTTTCTATCATTACCCACAAACAAACAAAAAAAAAGTTTCAAAACCCATACAAAAAAAAAGAAGTTTCAAAAAATTTTAGAAGCCCATAAGCCTAAAATAAAATTAAGACAGAAATAAAGGAAGTATATTTCGCATTTTTTATGAATTCTTTTTGCAAAATGTTTTGTCGAATTTTAAACCTATTTTGAATGTTTGTTTTTTTTAATTTTTAATTTAAATCTCTTCCATCATGTAAGATTAGCAATTAACACATTTATGTGTTATAAATACAAACTTACGATTAAGAAATAGTGCAAACTTACGATTAAGAAATAGTGCAAACTTACGATTAAGAAATAGTGCAAACTTACGATTAAGAAATAGTTTACTTTTTGAAAGGTTTGAGGATAACAATCTGATTCTTGTTTTTGTTTGATGATTTTTGATAATCATTTTTCAAATGGCGTATTATCTTTATGTTTTGAAAAATAATGCTTTTCATGGTTTTTTAGAATTGTTTGGAATAACTTTCAATTAATTCATTTTTATCTAATAGTTATTATTTCATGTTTAATAAACATGAAATAATAACTATTAGATTGTAGAATTGGGTGGCCATTCAAACAACTTTTTTTTTAATGTCTGTTCTCACCCTATAAATGTGTTCTATATAATAACACTGGAATTAAAAATTAAAAAAATTTTTTTTTTAGGTGTAGCTTAAAACTTTTAAACGTCAGACAGGTCCCTATAATTATCAAAACAAAAGTTCTTCAAAAGTATATTTTGTTGGGTCTCAAATGAAGCAAAATCATATAAAATTTTAAAAATAATCATCATTTTATTAAAAAAATGCATGTTTTTAGTTTTTAGTTTAAAAATGTCATGTTCTAGGAAGTGAAATCTAAAATAATTATTTTTTTATAAAATGATAATTTTTTTACAAGTTTTATATAATTTTGCTTCTTTTGAGACCCAACCTGATATACTTTTGAAGAACTATTTTTTTGATTATTATAAGGACCTGTCTGATGTTTAAGGGTCTTGAACTACCCCTAAAAAAATTTTTTTTTTCAATTTTTTAATTCTAGTATTATTATATAGAACATATTTAGAACATATTGAGAGCAGACATTTAAAAAAAGTTGTTTTAACGACCACCCTAATGTTTATTATTCATATTAATTTCTCTGTAATAAATTTGTCTTTAATCTTTTTTTTATTGTTGTTGCTAAATGTTTATTGCCCAAAAATGTTTTAGTGAAATTATTTGTTCTAAAGGATATTAATCTTTTATCTGGCGAAGAATTTAGTTCTCCATTGGTTCATTTGGTTTTTTTAGATGGTAAGTAAGACTTTTATAATGTATACATTTCTAATTTATTTAAGTGGACTCCTTTTCATTATAGTTATAAAACTATATTAAATCAATGTTATATGTCATTATGTTAAATTATATTAATTATATTATAAGTAAAAGTGAAACTACTTTTAATACTTTTTAAAGGTTTCTTTAAAATAATTACAAGGAATAAAATCTTCATAGTTCAAAAAATGGTTTTATTAAAAAATCCTTTTTTGTAAATGATAACTGTCTAAACCTATAAATTGTTCTTAGTGAAAACGAGTTGTCCTGTACTGCCAGACAATATATATTTATATATATATATGCATACATACTATAGTGTATCATAGATATGCATTTGCCAACTTTTTTTGCCTACCTAAATCTAGACAGTTTTTTAGCAAAAAGAAGAAAAAAAAAGAAAGAACCCTAACCCTGTTCTTCATTCAATGAATAATAGGGTTAGGTTATACAATATATCTTAAAGAATCTAGACTACAATGCACAAAATTATTTTTACCTTAATGCACAAAAATAATAAATGCACAATCTTGTATTAAAAAGTGAAGCAATTTTAGTCAGTATATCTTACTTTAAAGTAATAGCAATTATATATATATATATATATATATATATATATATATATATATATATATATATATATATATATATATATATATATATATATATATATATATATATATATATATTCACATAACAAAAAAAACAAAAACACTTTAAACAATGAAATATGGAAAACATCATCATTTTTTTAAAACTACTCCCAGCAGGAACTATAACTATAACTAGCATTAATCTAGATTTTTCTTAAGATAATAATATCAGACTTGAATGTTCTCTTTATATCAGTTAATGCATGTACTAAAGCATCCAGCAGCTCCCTATTTCAGTATATATATATATATATATATATATATATATATATATATATATATATATATATATATATATATATATATATATATATATATATATATATATATATATATATATATATATATATATATATATATATATATATATATATATATATATATATATATATATATATATATATATATATATGTATATATGTATATATATATATAAATATAAAGCCCATTATAGAATGGAATATATATATATAAATATAAATATAAAGCCCATTATAGAATGGAAAATTGTCAAACGTTGTAAACCTTACAATCTAGCAACAAAAATATGCCACCTTTGTCTCTACAAAAAATATGTAATTTTATCGCATAATGGAAAAAACCTACTGAATAAAAAAAACGAAATCGTATCTCAGTGTCGACATTCAAAAAAATTCCTATTATCTTTATAAGACACAGGGGACTAATAAACTATAACGGCTTTTTGTTTTTTGTTTTTTGATTTGTTTTTTACGTAGATTTGTTTATAATGTTAGAAGTCATTCTACAGTAATTTTTACGTTTTTGTAACGGTTTGTTTACGTTTTTTGTTTGTATTAACGGCTGATGATTGCCTTCGGGCATGAAACTTTAAGTCCCGCTAATCAGTTGTTTTTATTCATCTAAATATAGTTATATTTAGCTCTATTATTCAGTAATATTGAGCACTGTAACACGTACAAGAGACTTTGTATTATTACCTCGAATATATTCTATATATCAAAATCTATACAAATATATATATATATATATATATATATATATATATATATATATATATATATATATATATATACATTTCTATTGTAAAAGTCTTAAACTTACTGTTTTTATATAAAAAACCACACTTAACTACCCTACGACATCTAATTTGACAATATTAAGGTCAGCTTATAACAAAATGCATTAATTTAATTTAAGAAACTAATTAGGTTAATTTTTTTTTAATAAAAAAACCCACAAAAGCGCACATAAAAAGACAAGAATGTTTATAAAACATACTGAATGTTTTTTTTTTTTTTTAATTAAAAACATTCTGAATGTATTTAATTTAATATTTTTACTGTAAAACATGTTCAGAGTGTTGCTACATAAACATGTTAAAGCCTGCTGCTACAAGAGAGTCCTGCTACATTGACTATCTTATAGCCTCCTGCTACTAAAGAGTACTGCTACATCGACTATCTTATAGCCTGCTGCTACTAGAGAGTACTGCTACATTGACTACCTTATAGTCTATCAAATAATAAATTTAAAAACAAAAAATTTTTTTAAATTTTTCCGGTCTTTATATATATATTTAAGTTGAGATAAAAACATATAAATCGGACATAATGAGCGAAGAGCTATTTGTTTAATTTATTTTAAAACACAATGAGTTTGTTAAAATTTACATAATAAGTTTTAATTTATGAATTTCAACATGTCTTGGTACTTGGTAAATTCTTAAAAAAATATAATTTGTTTTAAGGAATTTCTAAGTACCAAGACATGTTGTATTCATATTTTAAATACTGTTGTTTTTTTGTATTCACATTTTAAATATTTTTGTGTTATTATATTTACATTTTAAATATTGTTTTGTTATTGTATTCATATCTTAAATATTGTTGTGTTATTGTATTCACATCTTAAATATTGTTGTGTTATTGTATTGACATCTTAAATATTGTTGTGTTATTGTATTCACATCTTAAATATTGTTGTGTTATTATATTCACATCTTAAATATTAGAAAAAAAAATTGTAGTTAATTAAATTTACTAAAACAAATTGTTTATTGAGATGTTATCAAATTATTGAGATGTTATCTTTTTTTTTTAATGCCATATTGTTTTTCGCGAAAGGAAAGTTCCGGCTTGATTTTTTTTTCTTTCAATAGAAATAATCAACAAGTTAAAAAAACCTACCCTGTAACATTGCTGCATAATAAATGCACTATACGCCACTATAGTGAGATATAGTGCATTTATTACATTTATATATTATATATATATATATATATATATATATATATATATATATATATATATATATATATATATATATATATATATATATATATATATATATATATATATATATATATATATATATATATATATATATATATATATATATATATATATATATATATATATATATATATATATGTATATATATATATATATATATATATATATATCATATATATATATATATCAATATATAGAGATGTTAAATTTTTAAAATTTAATTTAATTTACAAGTCACAAGAAAAATGAGTCAACTAAAAGTGCAATGAAAAATGTTAAATTTTGTTCGATTATTTTAATATATTATTACAAAAATAGATCTTGAAAAATTGCTACGTTTATTGATAAATTTTTTTAAGCAAATATTGAGATGCTTGAATAAAGAAACGTGATGGTTGCAAAGGTTATTTTTCTGCCATTTTTTGCGTTGCTTGCAAAATTATTGGTTTGACTATATCTGGAATAAACTCAATAAAAATCCGATTATACAACTGATAAAACTAAAGAATAAAAGAATAAAGTCAGAATAAAAGTTAAGAAACAAAACCAAAATAAAAACATAATAACAAAAACTCACTAAGTAGACTAGTAGCACACTAATAGCTCTGAGCAAAAAATAAAAACTGCAGAGTAACTTCGAAAAACTATTATATCAACTTTACAAGTATCCAACTATTCGAAGTTTAATTACCAAAGTCTTTTTAAATTTGTTAATAAAGCTAATAAAGCTACTTGTTAATAAAGCGATATTAGAGATTTTTATATACGACAACATTTTCATTCAATGATCTTAATTATATTATTATAAAAGTTCATTCAAGAAGAAGAAAAAATGAATGAACGTTTATAATAATATAATTAAGATCATTCTTTTTTTATAAAACAATGTGTAAAAATTTTTTATATATTGTTGTTTTATTAGAGCGATTGATTATATTTTAACATTTGTTTTTTATTTATTATTTAATTAATTACTAAATTATTAAATAAAAATTAAATAAAAAAATTTAAATAAAAAAAATTGGTAAAAAAATTAAAAAAAAACAAACGTTTTTTTAAAAGCGTCTTTCTATCGCTAAACATTTATTATTACAATTAAAATTTTTACTATACCTGGCATGAATAATCAACAAAATAAAACTTCAGAACAAAAAAAATTATATCAAAATGAATTTTATTAATTTTTTGAAGAAAATATCCTATTTTTTTACTTTTGCACAAGCCTTAGGTGCAGTAGAGCTAACGCTCCTTCCTGCCATGGCTTGAATAGTGTGGTAGTGATTAATACTGCACTTAAGTTGTTTTTCTGCGCTGTTGTTTCTGACACACTTAAATAACTTTGTTCATGTGATATGTAAATAACTTTGTTTATGTAAATAACTTTGTTCATGTAAATAACTTTGTTCATATTTTAGAATTTTTATTTTATCTTAAAAATTGATTTAAACATCCACTTAAATACACAGATTTTTTTTGTTTTACTATATAACAAAAAACCTGGTGCTTTTTTTATTAGCATCCATAATAAGAATATACAATTTCTTAATTTTTTATCTTTGTAAAATTATATTTACATATTTAAAATTTTTATTTTAGGTAACATTATTGGTTTAATTCGTCACCATCGTCGTTTGATCAAAACATTTCGATTAATGAGAAGAGGTAAAAAATATCCTACATAATATATATCTATAATAATGTTACAATAATATATATATATATATATATATATATATATATATATATATATATATATATATATATATATATATATATATATATATATATATATATATATATATATACATGTATTTGATTTTGTTCATATGTATGAGGAATGAGGATGCTATGTAGAAAATTGTGATGATTAGGAACAACAAAAATCTCAAAATGCTGGCCCCCCAGCCCTAAATAGGAGGGCAATGAGTCAAATTTTTTTTTTTTTAATCTTAATCTTATTAATATTCATCAACAAATTTCAAATTTGATTCAATAATCTCCTGTTGATCAGCTTTTATGAACTTATAACAGCCTTCTCAATTTGCCATTTTTTTCAGCCATTTTTATATTGGACAGAAACAGATTTGTTTAAACTTGTTTTACCTTGCTGAAACCTTTATTTAAATTAGCTTTTAGCACCTTTGATATTTTTACAATAAAACGATTAAATATTGTGCTACTTGCTTAATAGATATGTAAAAGGCGACATAAAATCTTTCTATATTGGATTACTGCTTTGAAATGAGAAAAATTTCTTTTATCCAAACATACTTGTATATGTAGGAACTATTTTTAGAATTAGAAAACAATTACTATATCTCAGATATAGTAATATTGCATGTGTTGCTCGTCATCATAACTCATTTTAGAAATGATTGGTGTGCCATCAATTTTTTTATTTTTTGCTAATATTTAAAAAACAAAAAGAAAACTCCCAACAAAACAAATACCTGTGAATCCACCACCAACATTTGGTCCTTTGTTTAATAAAAAAAAATTGATGTTAATTCTGCTATAAAAAATAATTCCAGCAAAAAAAAAAAAAAAATTAAAAAGTGAATTATTATTATTATAATTATTACTTCAGAATTAGTATTACTTAAATAGTACTTCAAAATTCAGATATTTCCAGGATAATAGGCTAGGTTTCAATTGGTTTCAGATAACAAACTAGTAATTCAAAGTTTTATGGCAGTTTTATTATATAAAAGAATAAAATATATTACGATAATTTTCTATGAACGCAAGTATGTTTTTACATATATATTTTTTAAATTTGTGGCTATAAAAATAGCCATTAGTTTTAGATAGTTAGTACACAGTCCTCTTTGACACACATCTAGTACAATCCTTTTTGACACACAGCTAGTACAATTCTCATTGACACACCATGCAACTGATTTAAAAGTTAAATTAAAATCAGATATCTATTTGTTGAAATTTGTAAAAAAAAAAATATTTATTTTTGTCTATTGGGCCAGATGCTAAAGATTAAATGTAGGAATTATATTATGATAATTATTTATAATTTTTTTCAAACTGAAAAAATTTCTTTATTTTTACTGAAGCATTTTTGTTTGTGTTTAGCTGGTTATATCAATGAATTTGTTTCTATTTACCCAAGTCATTCTCACAGGTATTTATATTTATAAGTTTATATATATATATATATATATATATATATATATATATATATATATATATATATATATATATATATATATATATATATATATATTATATATATATATATATATATATATATATATATATATATATATATATATATATAAATTTATTTATATATATATATATATATATATATATATATTATATATATATATATATATATATATATATATATATATATATATATATATATATATATATATATATATATATATATATATATATATATATATATATATATATATATATATATATATATATATATATATATATATATATATATATATATATATATGTATGTATGTATATATGTATATCAAGCTAGGTGAAAATAAAAGTTTGGTCTAATACTGAATATTTTGTTGTGTCTATCTGTGAATGAATATAAATCAATAAAAATATTATTTTTAAACATGGGAAACTGGAAACTGCCGCATTTTTACCCTTAAACATCAGTTCCCTAATATTATAGAAAGTTTTTTTTTTTATAAGTGTGCATGTTGGATCTCAAAATATATTAAAAAAAAAATTGACTTGAACCATGAACAAAATTGAGACCCAACAAGATATACCTTTGAAGAAATTGTTTTTCTATAATATTAGGGACATGTCTGATGTTAAAGGGTTAAAACAGGGCACTTCCTGTAAAGCATTTTAATTTTTTACAACTGCTTTTGGTTTCATACATGGATTGGTAAATAAGCAGGATTGTTGAAATGAAATACACAATTGTTTGTTTTCACCCCAGTCTAATGAATATATGTATATATGCAGCCCTTAGAATTAGGGTCGGCATTTGGCAATTCTGATCTAACTGCTAACCTAAATTATTTTGACGACTGCAAATAACTGCCAACCTCTTTTCTATGTTTTATTGTAAGACTTTTGTATCAAACCTTTTTTGCTGACCCAGTTCTGAGGCCGGCTTGTTATAAGATTTTCCAAACTCTGTGATAGCTTTCAGAGAAGCTGATTACATCAACAGCTGTAAAATGTCAGCTGTAAAATGAGTCAAGTTCTCTCATTTTTTCTCTAATTTAATCCATGTCCAAAATATTAAACTTAAAAAACCATCACTACCACCTTACTCTTTCAATATATCTTTCACTATTATTAGTGGTCTTTAAAGTAACTTTTCATAAGTTGAATCTTACCTCTTGCAAAATTCAATCAACTAGCTCTTTTGCGACACTCATTTAAAGTTGGCTGTTCCTTTTTCAGATTTCAGTATCAATGGCTACTATCCTTTGATTCCAAAAGACTCCAATAGACACATTCTTGGCTTGGTTGTATATTTATGCATCACTTCACCTATTTGTCAAGAAATCGAATCACCTACTTGTTAAGAAAGTTGAGGTTTTAATCCTCTGACCATTCTTTTATGTGCTTCCATTTAGAACCTCTTCACTCTTAGACCACTTCACTCTATCACCTTTCTCTTCGTTCTTCTTCTCAGTCCCAGTTCTCCTTCTTTTCAAGATCACTCTTTTAAATGTATTTTTTTTACCTTTCTTTACCTTTTTACCAATATTGCAGTTATTGGTGACTTTAAAGCTCATCACACTGAATGGCTGATCACTGACCCTGCTAACACTAAAGCCCATAACTTCTTTATTTTTCAATCTATTACTAACTTTGTAACTTATTTTCCAGACAACCCTAATCATTTATCTTGATTCCCTGACTCTAGCTTGTGTTCAGTTTCTCATTGTTCTCCTTTAAGTTGTTCTGACTATGCATTGAATTCTATAAATCTCATACTTCTTCAACCCACTTTATTATCGCACTGCCTACTACTACCCTAAAGTTGACTGGGATTCTTTTTTTAATTTTCTTTGTGATGGTTTTTAAGCTGATACCTTTTCCCTCTTCACTGACTTAACAGACCTCCTACACTAGCTCCTGGATCCAGGTAAGTATGAAAGCTTTTATTCATTCTGGTCAGTTTTTTTATTTTATTTTCAATGCACGGTTTTCACCTTCTGTTTTTTATTTTCTGTATAAGGTTTTCACCTTCTATATTTCTTCACGGTTTCCACCTAAATCTATATTAGATTACTTATATATATTCTCACTACATATATATTCATATATAAAAGTCACTATATCTATCTAATATCATATATATGTCACTATATCTAATATCTATATAATATTATATATATACATACTATACTATATATATCTAATCATAATCATCTTTTTGAACTTTTAAATATTAAGAAATGTTAAAAGGTCTGATGATCACTATTTTCAATTGCTTAGAACAGGCAGGCAATCTTGAATCTGATTTCACTTCTGTGAGCTTGCAGTAGTTTGTGAATTTTAACTTTAACGGACCTCAGTCATTTGCTACAAACGTCTATCTAAATTAATGACAACCTTCTTTCTGAATCCTCTTCTTTACGTCTTCTTGGATCATCATTTACTATTTACCTCTTATGGAAACCATATATTCAATTAATTCCAAGTTAGCATCTGCTAAGGTTGCTTATTTTTGTTGTGCTCGCCATTAACAGGCTTGGTTGGAAAGCAAGTGCAATTGCACTCTATTCCTGAACACTCATATAATATTTATTTATGTCAACGGCCACGATTTTTAGATGCTTTAAGAACATTTCAAAAATGACACAGTTAGAGACAGTTACAAAAAAAACTTAACTAAAAAAGAAAAAAGAATTTTTAACGTAAAAAAAAAATTAAATAAAATAAAAAATTGTATTTAGAGTGAATAATTTCTAAATATTTCTTAGTGAAGAATAAACTAATGAGCTAAATATTTCTTAGTGAAGAATGAACTAACGGATTGAGTTACTAAAGAAAGATTAAAACAATTCATTCGTTTTTTATATATTATAAATCAATATATTAGGGGCATATTTCATTCTAAGTGAATTTTTATTTTGTAATTTGCAAAATAAGAGCAGGTTGCATCAAATTATTTGAAAACAAACTTTTATGGTTAAACTAAAAAGGTTAAAACAATTTATTGAAGAGGAAGTCCTTTAGCTTCCTCTTCATAAATTATTTTTACTTACTAAACAAAAGTTTTACATTTATAATAAAAATCACACTAATAATACATTAATAATAAAAATTAATCTATATTAAAAAATACGTTAATAATAAAAATAAATCTATACTAATATGGTTTACTAAACGTTATATAACTTTTGATAAAACTTTCCCAACTATTTTTTAGGTGTCACTCCATTGACTAGTTTGTAACTATATGAGTGACACTTAACCAAATTCTATTAATTTATGACGAGATTTTAAAATTTTTATTGACATGGTTGAATAAAGAGAAAGAAAAAAATTTACAACTCATGATATAAAAAAGATATCGCTTAATATTATTAGTTTATATTATTTCAGACTAAGAAAGTATCAAACCAAGCCTTGCATGCAGTTATTTAGATCAAGATCTTAGGTCAGGTCAGGTTTTCCTGCTACTGGTAACATGTAACCCAGTACAACCTGCTCCATGTCCTGCTGCCTTGTAGGATACGCTTTTTTAGGCAAAGGCTAGGAGAAGTTAACTCCGAATTAAAACACCCCCTGCCTTGGGGCTCTTGGTTGAGTAAAGGCTAGAGATGGTGTCTCGATAAAAATACTCATCTTGGGCAGATGTTACATGCATCCAGCTGCTGTCTTGTAGAAGGCCTCCTAGGCAAAGACTTAAGGGGTAAACAGATTCTATCTGTTGACCAGCCTAGCACCCCTTCCTCATCTATTAGGCTGGCGCAGATGTATTTTTAATACATTGTTTCCAGTTTAGGATGTTGAACGCTGGATCTTCTTGACTCAATGCGTGGGTATTGCTTGTGTCTCTATTTTTATGACTGGGCAACTCATTCTATTATCTCCTAATGAGGGTACAGCTCTAAAACTCAGTTTTATGGTTCTGAGGCCGGCTGGTAGTCAGGTTTCCCGAACTCTGTGGTAGCTCTCAGAGAGGCTGATTCCATCAACAGCCGAAAAATATCAGAGTACTAACAGTGCCATGTTGCGCATGGATGGTGTCCCTGTTTGTACTTTTGGTGTGCATTGCAGAGGCCACATTTGGAGCCCTTTGTTACGGCTTAGGGTTTATTAATAGTAATGAGGCTATTGCTTAGTTGTTAAATAGTGTACTGAGTACTATCTATACTTGAGTCAAGTTCTTTATAAATTTAAAATGACTAAAGTACCTAAAACTAAAAAACACAAAAAACCATTGTCATCACCAAGTTCTCTAAACCTATCATTTACTAATATTCGTGGTCTTCGAAGTAACTTTTCTTCTGTTGAGTCTTATCTCTTGCAAAGTTCACCAGACCTACTTGCTCTTTGTGAGACTAATTTGAGTTCGGCTGTCCCATCTTGTGATCTTAGTGTTGATGGTTATCTTCCTTTAATTCGTAAAGACTCCAATAATCACATGCTTGGCCTGGGCATCTACATTCGTAAGAACTCACCCATTTGTCGTGAAACTAGGTTTGAATCTACAGACTATTCATTTATGTGCTTTCGTTTAGCACAACTTCACTCTATCGCCTTTCTCTTTGTTCTATATCGCTCTCCTTCATCCCAAGACTGCACTATTCTTGATGTTATTTCTGATCAAATTGACCAAGCCCTCTCTCTTTATCCATCGGCCAATATCGTCGTTGTTGGTGACTTTAATGCCCATCACACCGATTGGCTTGGCTCTAGTGTCAGTGACTCTGCTGGCGTTAAGGCCCTCAACTTTTGCCTTTCTCAATCTCTAACTCAAATAGTCAACTTTCCAACTCGTTTTCCAGACAACCCTAATCATTTACCTTCTCTACTCGACTTATGTCTTGTTTTGGATCCTAGTCAGTGCTCAATTTCTCCACATTCACCCTTAGGTACTTCTGATCACGGTTTGATCTCTCTAAAACTATTATCAAATTCTTCTACTTCATCAGAATCCCCCTATCATCGTACCACATACAACTACCTTAAAGCTGACTGGGACTCTTTCCGTGATTTTCTTCGTGATGGCCCTTGGGTAGAAATCTTTCGTCTTCCTGCTGACAAATGTGCTTCTTACATAACTTCGTGGATTCAGGCTGGCATGGAATCTTTTATTCCCTCTCGACGATTCCAGGTCAAGCCTCACTCTTCTCCTTGGTTTTCCTCACATTGCGCTGCAGCAATTTCTAATCGAAACCGTTACTTCCATATCTATCAGCAAAACAATTCTCCAGAAAACAGACATCTGTTCACTATCGCCAGAAACCATTGTAAAAAGGTTTTGTCTGACGCCAAAGCTCGCTATTCCCAGGTCATTAAATCTCGTATCTCATCACAAAAATTAGGCTCTCGAGACTTCTGGAGAATCTTTAACAGTATCAATAATAAGGGCAAATCTGTTATTCCTTCTCTCTTGTATGGTTCAGACTTTGTCACCTCACCTAAAGACAAAGCTGAATTGTTTGCTAAGAACTTTTCATCAATATCATCTCTTGATTCCACTAGTTGCGTTTTACCTGACATAGCCGTCAAACAGGTTGATCCCTTGCTTGACATTCGCATCACTTCAGCTTCTGTATCTAAAGTAATTTCCTGCTTAGACTCTTCAACAGCTTGTGGTCCTGACAACATTCCTGTTGTAGTTTTGCAGAGGTGTTCTCCGGAGCTTTCATCCATACTTTCTAAACTATTTAACAAGTGCTTATCAGAGTCATGTTTTCCATCATGCTGGAAAGCAGCATCTGTTATCCCTATTTTCAAAAATTCCGGAGAGCGATCTGATTCATCTAACTACCGTCCCATTAGTCTTCTTCCTGTCATAAGCAAGGTTTTTGAATCTTTAATCAACAAACACTTAATCTCTCATCTTGAATCAAATAACTTACTTTCTGATCATCAATATGGATTTCGGTCTTCTCGTTCTACAGCTGATGTGCTAACAGTAATAACCGATAGGTTTTACCGTGCATTAGATAGAGGTGGAGAGGTTAAGGCTATCGCACTTGACATTTCTAAAGCTTTTGATAAAGTTTGGCATGCTGGTCTTCTCCATAAGCTTTCTTCTTATGGTGTAGCTGGTAACGTCTTTAAGATTATTGAGTCCTTTCTTTCCAATCGTAGTATAAAAGTTGTCCTCGATGGACAACACTCTTCTTCACATCCTGTAACTTCAGGGGTTCCTCAAGGTTCAATCCTGGGCCCTATACTCTTTTTAATATACATTAACGATCTTCCAGATATTCTCACATCTAAGGTGGCATTATTCGCTGACGACACTACCATTTACTCTTGTCATGATAAGAAGCCTACACTCTCTGATTGCTTGGAGGGGGTATCTGAGCTTGAAAAGGATCTCACTTCTGCTACAGCATGGGGCTCACAGTGGCTGGTGAACTTTAATTCAGATAAAACTCAATTTTATTCGGCCAATCGTTATCGTAATAATTTAGATCTTCCTATATTTATGAATGGTAATGTACTAGATGAGTCATCTACCATTCATCTTCTAGGATTAACTCTTACTTCTGATCTTTCTTTTAAACCGTATATCAAATCCATTGCAAAATTAGCATCTGCTAAGGTTGCATCTCTTTATCGAGCTCGACACTTTCTTACTCCAGATTCTATTCTCTATCTCTATAAATCTCAAATCCGTCCCTGTATGGAATACTGTTGCCACATCTGGGGCGGATCTTCTAATGATGCTCTTTCTCTTTTAGACAAGGTGCAAAAACGAATTGTAAACATAGTTGGACCTGCTCTTGCAGCCAATCTCCAACCTTTGTCACATCGTCGTAATGTTGCTTCTCTTTCTCTTTTCTACAAATACTATAATGGGCACTGCTCTAAAGAGCTAGCGTCCCTTGTGCCATCTACTAAAATTCACTCTCGTGTTACTCGCCATTCAATTAAGTCTCATCCTTTTTCTGTGACTGTTCCTAAGTGCTTCAAAAACTCTTATTCTTCTAGTTTTTTTCCTCGAACATCAGTTCTTTGGAATTCGCTTCCTTCATCTTGCTTTCCTGATTCATATAATTTGCAATCTTTTAAGTCATCAGTCAATCGTTATCTTGCTCTACAGATTTAGTCTTTTCTCTTCCAGTAACTTCCAACTCTTATAGTGGTTGCTTGCAGCCTTGTTGGAAGTGAAGATGTTAAAAAAAAAAAAAAAAAAAAAAAAATTTAAAAAAAAAAAAATTTTAACTTCTTTTTTATAAACAAGAAAAGTAAATTATCGATTTGTTTGAAAGCGTTTTGCTACTAAACATTTAATTACAAAAGATAAATGTTACAAAGTTAATTCTTTTAGTGTGTTGAAAGTTTTTAGACATACATGGCAACATACATAAACTTGAATGTTCTTAAAATATTTAAGCAGCTATGACCAAAGTTAGAAATAGAATTCAATTGTACCCGTTTCCCGACCAATCCTGCTCCTGATTCCATTCTCTACCTATAAAAATCTTTTATTTGTCCCTGTACAGAGTACTGTTGTATCCGTTGAGTACAATTGTATCCATTGTACATGAGTACAATTGTATCCGCTTCCCGACCAATCTTACTCCTGATTCCATTCTCTACCTATAAAAATCTCCTATTTGTCCCTGTATGGAGTACTGTTGTATCTTTTCCTCTTTTCTACAAATACTATCATGGTCGTTGCTCAAAGGAGCTATCATCTGTAGTTTTATCAACAAAAACTCAGTCTTTTTTATTTTGTTCCTGCATGCTCTAAAAACTTTTATTTGTCTAGTTTTTTTCCATGTTCTTCAACTCATTGGAACTCTCTCCCATATTCATGTTTTCGTGACTCCTACAACTTCATACTACCTACCACTTTTCAAGTCTTCTGTTAACCATTACCTTGCTATTCAACACTATTGCTATTTATTATTTTTTGTTTATTGCTTGCAGCCTTGTCGGGAGTGAATAAGGGATGAAACTGACAATAAAGTAAAAACATCTTCCTGGAGTTTCTTATGAAAGCATCAGTTGGTATTTTTTTAAAGTTTTTTTAAAGTTTCCAAATTGTTTATTTTTTTTTTCAAAATAAAATTTAAGACTTGTGTTTATGTACTTTAAATTTATGTACTTGTGTTTTTTACTTTAAAAAGTTGGTGTTTTTTTTTTTCAAGTCTCCTGTCTAACTCTTCTTTGTAGTAATATCTTCTGAATTGTCTAATGATTCATTTTTGAATCTGATAAATGAAAACAGATGAGACAATTTACTTGATTAACTATTCTATAAATTTGGTCCTAGATTATTTCAATTATGTATAGGCTAAAGCAAAAGTAACTTGAAAACAGTTGCAACTTGAAAACAGATAGCCTGGACAAGCTGTTGATGATGCTACCATTCCACTGAAACCTGATTTTCTTAGATTCAGTTTTTAATTTAATTCAATCTTAATTTCCATCTTTATCTTTGTTTAGTTTTATTTTCTGTTGAACAAGGAAAACCAAATTACAATATGCTAAAAACAAAATTTTGTTTGAAATCATGAAAAGTCTTATTTCTTATCAATGTGACTTTTTGAAGAAAAAAAAACTTCAAAAAGCTTTTGAAATGAAAGCCCTTTAGAATTAAGTAAGCAATTATGATTAATATATTTAAAAATTCAGAATATTACACTAGTTTATTTTTGTATTTAGATGTGTGTATATTTCATCAGACGGTGGACGAATGTGCAGGTTTTTATTAATTAGTTTAAAACGTCAATGGTTTTCGTTCAATGGTTTTAGTTGTACATTTTTATATTTTATATTAGGCCTTATATCATTGTTAAAAAGGGACGTCCTTGTGTAACCCAGCAGCATATTACAGAGTTATCAAATGGAACAAGGTTTTTTAATTAAATTAAATTTTAAATTAAAAATGAGACTCTTTGTTTTAATATGAGCTGAAGCAATACTATTATGTTGTTAGTATGCTATAAAAGCAACTAAGCTTTTATATTATCGATATACTGTACAAAATTCTTTATATACTGATAAACAAACAGCAATGTAGCTTACTGATTTATTACTGCTCATTCAGTTTGAACAATAAAAAAGCATATTAGGTTGAAAAATTATAAAGAAAATTGCATCTTTTTAATATTTTTTTTGGAGAAAAGTACAAATTTAGTACAATGTCTAGCAAAAGTTTTCCAATTAAATTTTTTTTTTTTATTATACTATATAAATTATCACATTAATTATAGTTAAAAATATTTAAAAAAAACTAAAATAATTGTGAAATTTTTTTTCAAACATTTTATTTTTGCTAAACTTCTAAATGGTCCTATTTGTTTGGTTAACTGATATTTACTAAATATTTTTTTAATGTGTACAATATGGTACATTGTGATAAAATGGTGCTCCTGTATAATATTAAAAAAATAATTTTTTTTTTGCCATGGAGCCTTAAATCACCATATTAGTGCATTTTTATGTTTTTTTATCAGTATATAATTGCTTTATAATTTGGTTATTAAATTTAACTTTGTAAATTAAACTTTGAATGTGTAGGGTAGAGCAGGGCATATAAGGACACTTAAGAAACAAATGCTAGTTGTGGATAAACTAATTATAGTTAACACTGTTTTTTAAAAATTTCCTAAAATTCATTGATATAAGAAAATGAAAAAACAGAAAACAAAATTCTAAAAATAACTTTTGACAACTAAAGTAACGAAACTCTAAACTAGCAAAACATGTGCATTTTGCAAGTAGGTGGGGCAAAACAGGACAGTTAAAAAGCAGCAGTTATTTGTCAATTGTAAAGCTAGCTATGAACTAAATATGTTCAGACAGTAAACTCTCAAAAAGGTAACATGTCTATAGAAACAATATGCCAATGTAGAACAAACTTAAATAAGCCATATGTATCAGCAGCTTTTTTAATTCTAAGTTCTTTTTTACTCACAGCTAAAACTGCATTTTATGCCGTTTTGGATGATTGATCTTTCTTATATAATTTCTTACCTTGTTTGTTTACATTAATAATAACACTAATAATAATCAAAGTTAAGTTATAAAAATAAGAAATTTCTTTGTATTTATTACTTAAATTGATTTTCTAAATGAAAATAATAATATTTTAGAATAAAATAAAATCATCAAATGCGGTAGTGGTGTAGTGGTAAAGCGCTCGCTTCATAAACGAGTGGTTCCGAGTTCGATCCCCACCACGTCCCTGGTAGTATCGCGCTCAACTCGTTTCTCCGCATAGCGGCCTTGCTCGTCAAGGTTCGTGTTTCGGAGTTATAGAGTTGAGAGAGAGTTATAACCACAAATAAGTAGCCTCCTCGTCTGTAGTGGCCTTCTCGGCCTTAAGGAGGTGAATTAAAATTTAAAAAAAAAAAAATATCATCATTTTTTATAAATAAAGCAAATTGGCAATAGTTTGAGATAAATCTTTTGTAGCTGTATTGCTTAAAAAAATATGCAAATTTTTGTTTTTGGAAAACTTACTGATGCATTTTGGTACTTTTAATAAAAAAAATTTTGGTACTTTTAATAAAATGGTATCTAACTATTTTTCTAATGATGTTGATTTTTGTTGCGATTCTTATGAATTATAAATTGGTTTCTAACTATTTTTCTTATGATGTTGATTTTTGTTGCGATTCTTATGAATTATAAATTGGTTTCTAACTATTTTTCTAATGATGTTGACTTTTTTTGCGATTCTGATGTATTATAAAATGGTTTCTAACTATTTTGCTAATGATGTTGATTTTTGTTGTGATTATAACTAGCACTTTTTCATTTATTTTAAAATTGCAAGAAAATTTACTTTTATTAGTATATAAAGATTTTTATATTGTTAGTATATAAAGGTTATATTATCAATATAAAATAAAGTATATTATTATATTATCAATATAAAAAGATTACCAATATTCATATATATCTTAAATAATACATCTGTATAATATTAATTGAATTTGAATAGAAAAACTTCTGAAATTTTTTTTCTGAAAATGTTACCATAATTTGGTTGAAATCTTATAAAAAGAAAAGAAATTTTCAACTTATTTGTCAACATTATCAACAAATTTTGAAATTGTTTTTATGATTTTGTAGTTTTTCCATTAAGTTAGTTAAAAAGCTTTTTAGTTAATATTGTAAACAAGATATGACATATACCCATGACAGTTATACAGGTAAGAATAAATAAATACTAGAAATGAATACTTTTAAATTTTCAACTTACCATTGAACAATAGCAAATAAAAATCTTTAACTAATGTATGAAATACCACCACTGTTTGAGGCAAAATACAACTATGCAAAAACCGCTTTGCAGAATATAACTGTGTGAAATGCTACTTTGTATATATATATTAATGTGCAATTCACCACGGTGTCTATCAGTTCACAAAACTCATCATGTGAGATTTTTGATAATATTAAGTGAGTTATTATTTATTTACAGAACATTTGAAGATTTCTTGCACCAAGGGCTTATAGAATATTTGGATGTGAATGAGCTTAATGATTCTGAAATAGCACTGTATGAGGAAGGGTGTACAAAGTAATTTTTTAAATAATTTTTGTCATAAGAATTTAGTTTATTGTAAATTGGAATATTTCATATTAAAATATTTTTGCATATTTTTTATCAGAGACACAACACATATGGAGATTGAACCTTTCACACTACTTGGTGTATGTGTTGGACTAGTGCCGTATCCTCATCACAATCAATCACCTAGAAATACTTACCAATGTGCTATGGGGAAACAAGCCATGGGTACTATTGGTTACAATCAGAGAAATAGAATTGATACTCTAATGTACTTGCTTGTTTATCCACACCAACCAATGGTAAAATCCAAGGTGAAATCTCAAAAGATTTTTAGTTCTCTTGCTTTAATTATTTTTAATTCTCTTGTTTTAATAATTATTTTCCATATAAAAGTTTATATTTAAGATTTTGAATGATAATTTTAATGCACAACATTAAAACTGTATCTAACTTTAAATAATGACTTTTAAAAATCTTTAATAATGTTTTAAAATGAATTTAATTTTAAAAGACTTTAGACATAATTCAGTTTGAGAAATTACCTGCTGGTCAGAATGCAACAGTAGCTGTCATGAGTTATAGTGGTTATGACATAGAGGTTTCTTGATTAATTTTGAATCTAATGTGTATATATAATGTATCAAATTATATTATATATAATATAATTTTATTTTTAAAGGATGCTTTGATCATCAATAAATCTTCATTAGATAGAGGTAAGTTTTATGTTAACATTAAATGAAGGATTTTATGGTAGCTATGATGATTTTATTGTGATTGAGGTGTTTTTTTTTTTTTATTTCAGATTTTATTATTGCAGAAACATTTTTTTACTCACTTAACATCTTTAAATCTTTTTTGTTTTGTTAAAATAAAACTAACAAACTTTATAAAATAGTTTCATAATATAGCTGAATCTAAAAAATTGATCTAAAAAAAAATTTGAAAAATATATATGCTAATTAATTTTCTAACTACTTAAAAAAAAAATTATAAAAATCATAATTTTTAACTATCTATTTTTATTATTAAAGATTATATTTAATTATTATTCCATTTTTAATTAAAGCTTTTATAAAAATGTTTTCTATTTATTATTTAGTTTTAGTTATTATTGCTATTAGTGGTGAGGCAAAGGCTATTATTTTTGCTCACCATCGCTTCTGCTCACCATTACTTTTGACATATCTAAAGCTTTCAATAAAGTTTGGCTGTTCTTCTCTATAAGCTTGCTTCATAAGATGTATCTGGGAAATTTTTTGACATTATTAAATCATTTCTTTCTAACTGCAGTTTTAAAGTCATCTTTTAAGCCACCACACACTCCTCCATCATCCATTATATCTTCATATGACACATTTTTTTCCTCATTTATTACATCTTTATATTGCACATAATAACACATCTTGACATATCTAAAGCTTTTAACAAAGTTTGGCATGCTGGTCTTCTCCATAAGCTTGCCTAGTATGGTGTATCTGGCAAAGTTTTTAAGATTATCAAATCTTTTCTTTCTAACTGCTTTTTTTTATTATTATTATTTGTTTAAATCCACCATCCCAAACAATGAAGGCCATTACAGTTGAGGAGGCTACTTTGGTTGTGGTTATAACCCTCTTCCAACTCTATAACTACAAAACACTGACATTGATGAACAAGGTCACTGCATAAAGATATAAATGCAGTGCTACCAGGGATGTAATGAGAATTGAACTCCAAACTCCTCGCTTAGTGAGGAGTTTAGAGTTCGATTCTCATCTTTATTCAGTGATAGGCAAGTGTTCTATCACTACACTACAACCACATATTAAATACTGTATATTTATTAAAGTCATCCTCGAAGTTCAATACTTTCCTTCATTTCCAGTAACTTCTGGGGTACCTCAAGGTTCTATCCTAGGTCTTGTTATGTTTCTTATCAATATTTATGATCTTACCGACAACCTTAAATTTCATTTCATGTTCTTTTTGCTGATGACTTAACTTTCTACTCCTGTCTTGACAAAAAGTCTTTTTGATTGCTTAGAATAGGCAGTCGATCTTGAATCTGATCTCACTTCTTTAACAGATTGGGATTGAATCTGATCTTACTTCTTTAAAAGATTGAATCTGATCTCACTTCTTTAACAGATTGGGTTTGTAAATTTTAGCTCCAACAAAACTCAGTTGTTTTTCTCAAACAATTATGGCAATATTGTTGACATTCCTATATTGATGAATGGCACTGAGTCTTATTCTTTACGTCTTGTTGGATTATTGTTTACCACTGACCTATTATGCAATATTTCATCCGACAAAGACATTTTTGATAAAGCTGCACCTTTTTATGATAACACCTTGGTGTCTAATGGTTATGAAGAAACAATCTGTTATAAACCAAATCATACCGCAACAAAATCAAAATCAAGATCACGTAATATTGTAAGGTTTAACCCTTCTTTTGCGCTTAACATAAGAACAAATGTTGCAAAAATTTTCTTAAATTTAGTTAAAAAATACTTTCCAAAATCTCATAAATTTTATAAACTCTTCAACAAAAACAACTTAAAGGTAAGCTACAGCTGTTTTTCTAATATCAAAAATATTATTACTGCTCACAATAAAAATTTTTTATCTGGTACCAACACCTCAACCAACCAACAAATAGTGGATTCAATTATATTGGACTAACAGAGAATACTTTTAAAGACCATTGGTACAAGCATAATAACTCATTTCAATATGAAAGCAAAGCAAATTCAACAGAGCTTTCCAAGTTTATGTGGGAAATTAAAAAAAAGGGATATAAAAATTCTATTATTACATGGAAAATTATCGACAAATTATCGAGGAGAATCATGCAACCTTTGCCTAACTAAAAAGTATCACAAAATAACATCAAAAATGAAATTATTAAACAAAAGAAATGAGCTGGTATCAAAATGTTGCCATAAAAACAAATTTTTTATAAACAACTTTAATGTCATCAAAGCGGACACTGCATAATATTTTTGTAATTAATTTTTTTTATTGTTAAGATTATTTGTAATATCTGATGATTGCCAATAGCGTGAAACTCGGAGTTGTGTTTCTTTAACTACCAGGTGTTATTATTTAATTTTTAAAGAATATATATATATATATATATATATATATATATATATATATATATATATATATATATATATATATATATATATATATATATATATATATATATATATATATATATATATATATATATATATAGATATATATATAAGAATATAACATGTGGCATAATGTTCTTTTCAGCAATAAAATGAATGTTGAAGTTGATTCAAGAAAAAACT